TACATATTAGACATGAATGATAATGCTATACAAAAATTACCCTACTACAGAAAAATAGACATGCAACCCTCCAGAGAGGAATTTTGTTGTCAATTCCTTTCCTTCAGCCAGCCAACAATAAATTAAGTTGTTGGTACTTGCAGATTGTTTTGAGAAGTGGAGAAACACCAAACAAAATGCATCAAGAGTAGAACATTAGAGGTCTACTCAAACTGTGCAAGTCTGCAAGAGTAGCAGGCTTTGAAGAGGTACATGTAGACCTAACGGCAGAGGAAAGTCATATAGTAAAATTCCACAAATCTGTCAGCCTTTCAGATCTAGCAGAAATAGCCAATTCTCTTGCATTCCAAACTGAGTTTTTTTTGTACATTACAACTTATTATTTGCACAGTAAACTCAAGGAGTGGCATCCAAAGAAGTGCACAACCCTGTGTTAAATACTTAAGGAGGTTTTAAATGGGTGTTTCTCAAAAAAGGACCCCCTATGCTAAATAGAAGTTCCTTTGGAGATGAGTTTTTCAAAAGTAGTTTATAATGTGTTACTTGGGTCCCACTGTTCATGAAATGAAGTTATTCTTAACAAGTGTGAATATAGGAGCTAGTCGCATACATGCAACATTTGAAAGAAAGGCAAGTACATTTTGTGGTGATGAGCTCATGCTGTGGTATCAGAGCTTGCCAGCTACCATGAGACCTGGCTGGATAATCCACCAAGATGTTTTGAAATATTAACGTCAGTACGTGCTTCCCTGCAGTCCAGAGAGCACAGTTGGCCTTGTATTTAGATGCAATAAATCAGTTGACAAAATGAAATCTTTGGTTTAACTCATCTATTCAACGTTCCATCTGTAAGACTGTCATGTGATTCAGTCTATGAAGCATGATGTATCAGAATGCAATTTAGTACACACATTCAGGAGGCAAAACATCAATATTCTGTTTGTAAACACATTTGCATACCAGCTTTAAAGAGAGTCATGAAAGATATCAAAGTTAAGAAAAGGCAACCTTTCCCTTAACATTTCAGATATCAAAATATGCACATTCAAAACAGTATTTTTTTCAAAACTGATCACAACTTCCTTGTTTATTTTCACATGCAAAACTGATTAACAAGACATTGGAAATGAGGCTTTTCAAACATTCAGCTTGACAATTATATCTTGCCAGACCCACCTTGCTTCCAAAATATGAAATATAATGTGCGTCCTATCTATATAATGTACTTCCTATCAAAATTGTATGTGTGTGTGTTAAAATATTTTATTCTATTAATGTATATCCTTCCCTCAAACAGGCTGCCATGCTCATTTACAAGAATGAATTCCATACAAAATGTAATAAAAACAAACATTAAACCACCACAATATTAGAGGACAATATAAAAAGAGTGTAAATTAGCATGGCTATTCCAGACTATTAATATTATTTATGATATTTCTGTACAGCCTGTAACCAAAGTTCTCTGGGTAGTTCACAACAGGATATACAAATGATAAAATGCAATACATAAAGCAGCACTTCAAACATTTTAACATAATTAAAATAGCATTAAAACACATTAAAATGCAATAAAATACAATAAAAAGACCCAACCAAGAAGAAAGAAAAAAAGGCTCCTGGATGACCAGGGAGATCTTTAAAGGCCTCCACAAAAAGCGCTGTTTTAACTTGGCACCAAAAAAGATGGCAAATTTGGCACCAGGCAAGCTGCAGCAGGGAGGTTACCTCCCCAGTCACCACCCTCCAAGTCTCTCAGGGGTTGGCACCCAAAGGAAGGCTGCAGTGGTTGAGTGTAGTATCTAGGGAGCTCAGAGGCATCGGGAGAAGCATTCCAACAGGTATTGTGGTCCCAAGCCATTTAGGACTTTGTAGGTGAAGAGCAGCCCCTTGAATTGGGACTGAAAGCATACAGGCAGCCAGTACTGGTGGGCATGTACTGATTTTACATGTTTGGACCACCTGATCCCAGTTATTAATCTGGTTGCTGCATTCTGCACCAGCTGCAGATTCCGAACTGTCTTCAAGGGCTGCCTCCTGTAAAGTGTGTTGCAGTGATCCAATCTAGAGATTACTGGAGCATAGATTACTGAAGCCAGGCTACACCTGTCCAGGTAGGGGTGCACTGGGCCACCAGCCAAACCTGGTAGAAGAAACACTGAACCACTGATGCCACCTCAGCCTCAAGTGACAGACAATCTACAAACCTGTTCCTTCAGGTGGAGTGTGACCCCATATAGAACAGGTTGAACACTCCCCCAGCCCCCAACAGTAAAAGGAATCATTCACCAATAGCAACTTAGTCTTGTCTGAGTTCCAGTTTGCTTGCCCTCATCCTGTCAATTATCATAACCAGATACCAGTTTAGTACATCACAGGCTCACCTGCTGACAACAAAAAGGAGAAATATAGCTGCATGTCGCCAGCATATTGATGGCAATGCACTACAAAACTCTGGATGGGATGAGCCCACTCAGTGGTTTCATGCAAATAGTAAATAGCATGGGAGACAGAACAACCCCCTGTGGAACTCCATGCTGGCGAATCCATGGCGCTGAACAATATTCCCCAGGTACCACCTTCTGGAGACAGCCCTCCAAGTAGGAGTGGAACACTGCAATGCAGTGCCCCTACTCTCATCTTGGCCAGCCACTCCAGAAAGATACCATCATTGATGGTATTAAAAACTGCCAAGAGGTCCAGCAGTATCGACAGGGTCACAGTCCCCATCTCACTCCCAGCACAGATCATCATACAGTGCAACCAGGGCTGTTTCCATTCCAAAACCAGGTCTGAACCTCAGTTGAAATGAATTCAGATAATCAGTTTCATCTAAGGGTGCCTGGAGTCGATTGGCAAGCACCCTCTCTAGAACCTTGCCCAGGAAAGGAATACATGTAGTCCCCAGCTTATGAACATCCAGGTTATGAACAATCCGCACTTATGAACACATGGACTGCCATAAACCTTGTATGAATATCTCTAATGAAAAGCCATGAATATCTCAAGTAAACAACACAACATTTGGTGAGGTGTACAGTACTCACAGCTTTTCATTCCATGGCATCCAGACCTGGACTTCTGTGGTAACCCTCATCCTCAGCAGCACAACCAAACCCTGACTCTGCAGCACCAGATTCAGCTTCATCTGCATCAGTTAATGTTAAGCTTACTGTTAACTCAAGAATGTTCTAAACTGCTTCAATAACTGTTTCTTTTGTTTTTTTTATAATACTGTATACCTACACTGCCACTAGAGTGTCCTATGGAACTCTTAGTGTGGAATACAAGTCTAATAAATAAATAAATAAATTTATTCATATAAATCTATTCACACACACACACACACACTTTCTCTCTCTTCAGCACTAGTGATTATTATTACTGTATTTTTGCAATGCTGTGCTGTGTTTAAGATGTTTTAGGGAATATGGAAGTTTTGCTTAAGTGTTTTATGTATATAGAAAAGTTATATATATATATATATATATATATATAATATAATAAGACAAACATTTGGCTTATTCATGTGATCCGACTTATGTACAAATACAGCTTAAGGATTTTATCAAGAATGGAACTTGTCCATAACCTGGAGAGTACCTATATTTGCTACTGTAGTTGTGTAAATTTCCTAGATCAAGTGAGGATTTCTTGGGAAGTGGGATCACTTTCTCTCACAGAGGCACTGATGAGCTCCCTGGCCTAGCCAGCTACTCCTTCCTTGCAGGCTTTTATGAGCTAGGAGGGACAAGGACTCAGTATTGAGGTGTTTGCACAAACCTGTCCAAGCACCTTGTCCACACCCTCAAGACTAAGCCCCACTGAATTCAGGTGAGTACAAGATTGTTATAGTGTGCGGAGGATTACAGGTGAAGGTAGTCCCAAAGAGGTAAAAGTGCCATTGAACTACCACTATTTAAATGCAAGTTCAGTCCACAGTGGCTGCTTTGAGATGAGGCTTTCATTGAATACTTGTCCTTGTTCATTCGCAAAATTTTACAGGTGGAAGGTTAAAGACATGGTCATCTTTCACTACTAACCTTTCCATGTATTTCCTCTGGGTTTTTTTCCTTACCTACACAAACCTAAGGGAAAAGAGGAAATAGTTACATAATGGCTCTTGTATGTGACTGACAGAAGCTGTCCATCTGAAAGCATTGATTAGCATTCTTTACAAACTGGCGCTTCCAGACAGAAGGCTCCTGCTGCTCACAGTCAAAAGGCTTTGTATGCCTTACTGTTTTTTCTTCCTTAACTGGTTTTTTTTTCCCCTGGTAAGCAAAAAGGTGGCAGAAATGGTTGGAAAACACAGGAGGGCTACAGACTGAAGATGCCTATTCCGAAACTCACCGTAAAATCCCAAGAAGGAAGCAGTGCGATTGCACTAGAGAGGTTTCTTCTAGAAGCAAGCAAGTTTGTAGTGCAAGCATCTGCAAAAGTAATAGCACTCAATCTATATTAAGTCCTACCGAGTTAATGGGGCTTACTGTCAGATAAGAGTGTACACAATTGGAGCCCAAGTGTTTTTGCAGGAGTAGGCGAAATCCTTCCTTTGATGGTTCCATCCAAACCATTTGAGGCTGACACACAGACGGAGGCATTTTACGTCGACACAGACCCCAGTGATTGTAGCGCCAAGCTGAGACCCATACTGCGGATGGGCAGTCTGAAAGTCGCACACTCCTCCGCAAAAACGGCAGCCTCCCCGAATCTGGTGCCCTGCAGAGGTTTTGGACTTAAACTCCCATCAGCCCCAGCCAGCGTGGCCACTGGCCTTTAGAAAGGTGGGGAAACTCCGTCTGAAACATCTGGAGCACCGCACCGGGGAATGGGGAATGGCCCGCCGCTGCGTGCCGGCTCAGAGAGGCGGCCACAAGCGGCTAGTTTGGCCCCGAGGCAAATCAGAAAGCAAAGCGGCACTGGCGGAAGCAGCCCGGCCGCGCTTCTGCTGCCGCTCGGTCACCTGACTGCCGCGGCAAGGAAGCGCGAAGAGCGGCGGGCGAAGACAGGGGTGCCCTCATGTCCCAGCGGGCGGCAGAGGCGGCGGCGGAGCCGGGGGCCGCTCTTATTCCGTTCCTTCGGTGGCGCTGGGCGCTGCTGGTGCTGCTCTTCGTCGGCCAGCTCCTCCCCACGCAGGGAGGTGCCGTACGCTACGACCCCACCTGGCAGTCGCTGGATACCAGGCCGCTGCCCGGCTGGTTCGATGAAGCCAAGTTTGGCGTTTTCATCCACTGGGGCGTGTTCTCGGTGCCCAGCTTCGGCAGCGAGTGGTTTTGGTGAGGTCCCCTCCCGCGCCCCGAGTGCACACGAGCTCTGCTTGGCGGGCCTTCTCGCCTCTTCCCCGCAAGCCTCCCGCTTCTTGCTCCCACGAAAACTGGAAGAAATAGGTGTAAAGGTCAAAATGGGCACCAGTAATCAGTGCGTAGCTTGGCAAGGGCATCCTTTTTCTTTCCGTTCCCTTTTTGACGCGAGTAGGCTCAGGGGCCCTGATTGGGACCTCAAAAGCGCCCCCTGGCACCCGCTCCACCACGCTGGGCTGATCAGGACTGCTCTCGCTCTGCAAAATAGAAATAGCCGGCACAGTTTCATTTCCGCTTAACATTCATGGTTAACAGACGCTTATTTCCTCAAGATACCCTGTCTTCTATAGGCAGTTTATGTTTCTGTATTAAACGACCGGATTGAAACCTAGCTGGAGCCCCTAAAACGTATGTGTGAGAGTGTGTATATACGTGGAGAGGGTTTACTCTTGGGTATTTTGCAGCCCCCACTAACAACATAAGTGCCCCAGTCTGGAACTAGATTAAGAGTTTACAATTTACCGAGAGCTGAGAAAGACATGTACCTTTAATATTTGTCCTTTTCCCCCATTCTTACCGTAAGTCCAGGACCTTAGCATGGGGAAAGGGAGGTGGGTTAGGCATGGGCCCTCTGCATCTACTGTAGAGTAAAAATTGCAGCAGGGAAACACAGGGAGGCAGTTTCTAGATGCAGGTTTAAACTGAAGCCTAGTTTGGCCCTAAGGGTGCTTTTGAGCAAGGTGTTGATTGCCCCAATGCCCACTTTCCAATTTCACTGCTGGAATGATAGGCACAGGTCACCTAGTCCATTAGATATGGCTGGTTACTGATGCAGGCTGGGTCAGTGACTCCTGGGATTGTTTTAGAGGGTTAATGGTAAGGGTCAAGCCAGGAGTCCAAGCCAGTGAACAAAGCTCTCAAAGAGCTCTCAAGACTATTGCTGCTGAACAAAAAGCCTTTTTTAGAGGTCTTCCTGCCTTGGAGGGGCCATTGCCCTCTCTGTAGGAGACAAGGCCCCGTTTATGAACTATCTCACCTTGTATTGGTGATTAATACTGTTCCGGAAGCTGAGCTCAATTAAAAAAACAATACAATTGGTTGTATTCCCGGGATTTGAAAACTGTTAAGAACCAAGAATTACATTCGAAGTTAAGCTACTGATCACCTGAAACCTGAACCCAGAGCAGAATTTGTAATGCACAAATTCTACGCCCGATCATACGTCCTATTTTTACTGGCTTCAAGATTCTGATTAAGGGTAAAATCCTGTACGCTTTCCTTTGAGTCAGCTATTAAACTCAGTAGGGCTTGATTCTGAGTATATTGGATTGTCCTGCCAATTTTTAAAAACTTATTTTCAGACACATTCTGTGCAGTGAGGTGACTCATGTTAAATTAGTCGGACTAATTCCTTTCTTTATATTTGTTTGTACTTCTTAATTTGCAAAGAGTTACTTGCGCCAGAAGAAAGGGCCTCATGCTAATTTGTTTTTAAACTGTAGGTATTGTCTCACATGAATAGCACTGAACCACCATCATGCTCTTGACTCTCAGTAAGGGTGCGATCCTATGCATGTTCTGACAGGGAAAAAGACCTACAACTCCCAGCATACTCCAGCCAGCATAGGATTGCACCTTTAAGCAATAAAATCCATAAGATTTCTATTGACCCCAATGCTACCTCCATGAAGAGTAAACCAAGTTGGCAGTGCTGAGCATATAGAAGCGAAATGCTAATGTTTGCAGTAAATGACCTATGTTTGAAGACACAGATCACCCTTTCCCATCCTGATTCTCTTCAGACTACAATGTCGGTAATTCCCAGTTGTTGTGCAATACCATCTGGGAGCACCAGGTTAGGGAAGATGGGCATAGACATATACCTGTATTTGCATAAATTCCCTTTGCAGAACAATGTCATCATTATTAAGGTTTACAAAGCATTTTTATTCATTTTTTAAGGACAGGAATAATAGAAAATAAGTAGTTTTAGTGGGAAAGACAGAAAAGAGCTTTTCAGGGTATTGAATCCTTACCCTGTCCTAACATCCTGCCCAAATTCAGTTTGGTTCTTGAATCTTAAACACATGCAGCCATGTCCAAATTTGTTTGGACTACAAGGGCTAGAAATCTTTTTGTTGAGAGGGCAGTGTGAAATTCCTGAAAAGTGTTGAGCCTTGGATACTATTTTCTGTCTGTGAGTGCACTGAATGCATAGGGCAGTATCCAGTGTTGCCATTGTATCTCTTCTAGTTCTCTTGTGCATCCAGGACCTACAACTATCAGGACAGGAACTGTTGCTTCTGCAAGCAACCTTAGATACACTTTTTTCAGAAAGGGAAAAATCAGCAGTGCTGCCTTTTGCCACATTCTGCTCCCTGCCTTTTTCCAGAAATAAGTGTTTCTTTCCTGTTGTGAGAGGAGCCACTAGCTCTATCTACTGAGTCTTGATTGTGTGCAGGCAGCATGGACACCCCCACATCATGTTTCAGATTCCATAATCCTGCTCACATAGTAAATGCTGCTTCTTCAAAACACTTCTAAGAATGTGTGCCTGTTGTTTGGGAACTATTACTGCCTTTGTGCAGGCACTATAAGGTGTTTTTTCCTTTGCAGGTGGTACTGGCAGAAAGAGAAGAAGGAACCCTATGTTACATTTATGAAGACAAACTACCCTCCTGGATTCAGTTATGAGGATTTTGGCCCTTTATTTACAGCTGAGTTTTTTGATGCCGACCAGTGGGCAGACATTTTGAACGCTTCAGGGGCCAGATATGTTGTGTTGACATCAAAGCACCATGAAGGTAAACTGAGTGGAGGTGGAGTGGATTTGTTCAGATCTCAGTAGTTTGGATTTTTATTTTAGAAGATGAAATGCATTGCTCAGGCTCCCAGATCCATCCACTTAGAACAGAAACATTTCTGTATTACAAACCTTACACAGAAGTAGGAGATGATGATTACAGGCAGTCCTTGGGTTATGAACATCTTGAGTTACCAACATCTGTACTTAACGAACAAACTGCCATGAAGCCTATTAATGTAAAAATTTGAGTTAAAGACAAACAGTTCATAGTACTGAACGCAAACTAGGGTACTGTAGAAAATTGTCATCACCATAGAGAGGACGTGAACAGAAAGAAAGGGAGGGCCTCAAAGCATGCCTTCTTGCTCTGCCCATCTGGAGAGATGGCATGTCCTTGGTGCAAAGAGGAGACAATGAGGATTGAAAGGGAGGGTGGGGAATAAAAACATAAGAATATAATAAATGAAGGGGACCCTGCTGGATCAGACCAAGGTCTGAGAGACTGAGGGAGAAGCAATCCAGTACACACATGGTCAGCAGTATTAAGGGTTAAGGTTTGTGGAGCGAGCTAGAGATACTCATGTTTTTTCCACGTTCACAGGGGTCCTGTGCCCCTAGCCCCGTGAATATGAAGGACTGATCATATGGAGCTGTTTCTTTACTGTTTTATATACCTCAAAAGCTAAAATAGAAATGTATACTAAGACAAACATTTGGCTTACTGATGCTAAATATGACCCATACGTACGTGATCCACCTTACATACAAATTCACCTTCACAACATTCTCAGGAATGTAACCTGGAGACAGCCTGTAGTAACATTTGTGTCCCATTCTTTGAGGAGGATGCTGCAGAGAGGAGTATTCCATTTTATCCTCATAAGAACCTGTGAGATAGTTTAGGCTGAGAGTAGCTGGCCCAATAGTATTTAGTGGCTGCACTGAGATTCAAAACACTCTATCCACTGCATCATAATGGTTCCTTGATCATATTTGTTTTCTCCCTCAATTTAGGGAACAGATGCATTTTGATGTACTTTTGAATGGGCACTTTACCTTAAAGTGTACTCTAATAAACAGGAAAGCAAAACAGATGTGCACAACATATCTAAAATGCTTCTGATGATGATCTTATTTCATTTTCTAAGGTTTTACTCTCTGGGGATCGAAATATTCTTGGGCTTGGAATGCTGTTGACATTGGGCCAAAACGGGATATTGTGGCTGAGCTGGCATCATCCATTCGAAAGAGAACTGGCTTGCATTTTGGACTGTATCACTCATTGTTTGAATGGTTCAATCCTCTCTTCCTTGATGATGCTGCCAGTGTCTTCAGTAAAAAACAATTTCCCAATGCCAAGTCACTCCCAGAGCTGTACGAGATTGTGAAAAGGTACCATCCAGAGATTCTCTGGTCAGATGGAGATGCAGCGGCCCCGGACACTTATTGGAATAGTACTGGCTTCCTTGCTTGGCTTTATAATGACAGGTACATCACCTTCTCTCAGCGAAATATACACATTATCGTATCGTTAAATTGCTTTTCATAACATTTTATGTGTACTTTGTTGCTTTAGGTGACCTATTTGTACTCATTGGGTGTAAGTCTCATTGAATTCAGTGGGATTTACTGCTGAGTTGTGTATAGAACTGCACAGTTTGTTAAGCATTTGATAAAGCAAATTCTAATTTAGTCATCTAGAATAAAATTTTGTGCATGTGAGGGGGGTATTTTATACTACTTTTTGTGGGTTTAGAATGTTGGTTTATTTAAAGCTTTTATATCTTCACAATGACTCAGGGCAGTAATACAATAAAATAAATAAGATACAGCATCCAGATAATAGTAGATAAAATCCAATCTTAAAAACACTAATAACATTTAAAATAATGGGAAAATAAAAATATTTAAAGCAGTTATACCCTGCCTTTCTGCCAGAAAAGTGCCTTTCCTCTTTGAAATAACTTGTTGCTTACTCTCGGCTTGTTACCAAGAATAACCAATAGACCCTGATAACATAAAATATTATAAACCAGCAATATAGTTAAAAACAAACACTGTCAGTGATATAGCCAAACTGCTCTATTGCAACAGGGCTCTGTAGCCAGCAGCTACAAGAAAGGAAAGAGGCATGTTGATCTCTATTTCTGATAGTGGGTATCAAGAGATCCCTGCAGGCGTTTGACTCTGGGTTTTGGGCACCATATTTCATGTATCTTACATTTTCTATATTTTATTTCTAAACTTCCTTTCAGGATTTCAACCCATTTCAAGGCAGTGCACAAACAATAATGGAACATAATACAATAATGTAAATGTTAAATCATCATTCCTAAAATAAATCCACAGACCTCGAAAACAAACAGCATTAAAACCTAGAAGATGCCACTGAAAAATATTAATAACGTGCCTATTGAAATATACAAATATTTAAAGTTAAAAAATCATAAAGTTGGCATACCCCAGGATCTTTGTGTGTGGCAGGGAAGAAAATTTGACAAATGTGTGGGCACTGCTGAAAATGCCTCTCTTCTGGTATCCAGTGATGTGATGTCTCTTAAATATCAGTCATTTCTTTGAACTTTTCAGCCCTGTTCGTGATGTAGTCGTAACAAATGATCGCTGGGGAGCTGGCTGTATTTGTAAACATGGAGGGTATTACACTTGTGCTGATCGATATAATCCAGGACATCTTTTGTTCCATAAATGGGAAAACTGCATGACGATTGACAAACAATCATGGGGATACCGAAGGAATGCACAGTTGAGTGATTACCTCACAATTGAAGAGCTTGTGCAGGTAAAACAAGACAAACACACAACCTGATAACTGAGTGGAGCTGTCAGTTCTTCAGTTTTTCAGAAAATAGCCAGAGATGGATTTTTCAAAAATCTACCAGTGCCTTGCATTTCAATTCCCATCAGCTCCAGCCAGGCATGGCTGAAGACCAGGAATATTGGGATTTGGTCCAAAATATCTGAAGGTTTTCTGGTTAGAGAAAGCTACAGTACAAACTCAGGCACCCCTTCCCCATTCAAATGCCCCGTTCATCAGTTCATACATCAGTTCTTCTCAATCTTTCCCCTTGCTATGAGTCTGTCTACGTTTCGTTTTGTTTTTTCAATTATTTACTTGGAATATATTGGGGGTGGGGGGATGTTGAAACATCTTAAAGGGGAGATGCCAGAGCTGGCAGAGTAGACAGATCACTGACTCCCTGTTGTAGTTTTAGTGCAGAATGCTGTGGCCTGTTTGCTAGCAGAGAGGCAAGTTGCAGGCCAATTCAAGATTCTGATTTCAATTGATGTAATCACATGGTCTTGACCTATATAACTCCAAGACTCCTCTGCTTACATATGCCTCTTCACAGTGAAGGTAATTTAGCAGTACCTCACCTTAAAATAAAAAAGCAGGGATCTCGGCTTATGGAACAGCTTTGACTTTTTTAGGAGGAGCTTCAGCAATTTAGCTTCTGTATATTGGGTATCATTTGTACTTTTAAAAATCTTGAATGTGTTTCCATTTTATATGATGTATTATTGAGACTGGCTTTCAGTGCAGGGGAAGTAGTTTGGAAATGCTTTCTAAGATACAATAGTTGCTAGAACTTTAAATTCATCAAAGTGCTTTATAAAATCAGGAGTTTGTAGGATAGGGACTGGGGCTCTGTAGAGGTCCTGAGAAACAAGCACTGGAAAAAAATTGGCTTGTACATCCCCCAGGCTCTCGGTCAAAGCCTTTCAGTTAAAGAAACAAACACAAGCCACAGGGAAGTACAAGAATGAAGAAAGCTTGGTTTCAAGGGAAAGGTAATAGAACCAGTGCCATGCATAGTGCAAAGGGTTACACTAAAAGTACAAAGGAAGAAATTGGCGATGGCAAAACTAAAAGGTCTGTGATGGTTCTCAGAATCCACATTACTAGTTGAAAAGCTCTATCCTGCTTGAATATACGATGAGATACTGGTCATGTAACAGAAACATGTTTTCTGTGCAGTGTTTTCAGAAACAGAAACATGTTTTCTATGCAAATCTTTAAAATGCTCCAAACTTTGGACAAAAGTGTTGACAGTCAGATTGCGCTATGGTATAATGCTTTTCTTCTCTATGAATAATTTCAGCAACTAGTAGAAACTGTTTCATGTGGAGGAAACCTCTTGATGAATGTTGGGCCCACACATGATGGCCGCATTCCTGTTATTTTTGAGGAGCGCCTGAAGCAAATGGGGGCATGGCTGGCAGTGAATGGGGAAGCCATTTTCAGCACCAAGCCTTGGAGAGCCCAGAATGATAGTGTTACGCCAGGAGTATGGTAAGTCCATGCCATACTGTACTATGGATGCTGTACGTCTTGTTCTTTAGTGATTGTTGTTTGTGAAGAGAGAACTTCATGGTCCTTCCCATGCTGCCACAGGTTTCCAGAATGTCAGGTGCCCTATGGGAAGGATTGCATGGGAGAGAGAGATAAGCAAGAATAGTCCTAGAGGCAACTCCTCATTCTCACCGCACAGGGCCATGTGTGGTGTGGTGGTTAGAGTGTTGAACTGGGAACCTGGGAAATCCAGGTTCTAGTCTCCCTTTGGGCCAGTCACAAACTCACAGCCCAACCTGCTTCATAGGGTTCTTGCTATGAGGATAAAATGGAGCTATGTAAGCTACATAGAGGAAAAATGGTGGGGAATAATCACAATGTAATAATGAGGAGGAGAACTACCACAAGTTGCTCTATGGGAATAAATTGGATGACTTGCATATGTTAGTACTGCTCATAATTTTATTAATATATTTTGATGTTAACTGTAATTCTCATTAGAAGGATTTGTATCCTGGAAGGCTGGACTTAAATATCTGTAATATGAAATCACTTACTAATTTTCACTAGGTATACATTCAAACCAAAAGAAGAGATTTTGTATGCCATTTTTCTTAATTGGCCATCTTCAGGGACCCTTGTGCTTGGTGAACCAAAAGGAATTAGTGGGAAGACAATGGTAAGTGACATTTGCTGTAAGAGTGCTACAAATGCACATTGTGAAGCTACATTAGTGGATGTTAAACTATTAATTATTGGATGATTTGCACATACTGGTTCATTTCCAAGTGTTTATTGAATACTTGTGGGTTTCTTAGGCCCAGCATTTTGGATATTCACTAGGAGTTGCTCCCCCATAAGCAAAATAAAGCCTCTATTTTCAAACATTTCTGACCGCTGAGCCTCTGTCAATTTGTTCTTGAGTTTTCATGGCCATGCAACATCGCCACTAAATGTGTGACTTTTCTTTAAATGTGTTTATCTTCTTCAGAATGACAAGGAGAAAAACAGGTTTTTTTGGATTTGTGTTTTTTAAGAAAACACTGCACACATACAACAGCCTTCCCTGCATCTTGGGTCTTTCATTTTAATTCTGTCCTAACCTGCCAAGTAAATTAGCACGCACAATTGCGGTGGATTTGCCATCATATTTAGACAATACTGACCAAGTCCACATTAAACTTAAGGAATTAGTTTGGTGCATCTTCAGGGCATGACTACAGCTGAATCAGGAAGCTAGAATTAATCAGATGCATTTCTTCTTACTCTTAAACTGTGCTCAGGGAAATTAATTAGCCATGGTTAGTTAGAAGATGGGTGTGCTTGTGTGGGGCAGTGTTTTTAGTAGAATGACATAAAAATCCTCTTATTTGTCAGTGCCAATGTCTCTTTGAACTACTCTTCTCCACTTAACAGACTTTCTTTTTCAGGTGACGCTGATAGGATACAAAGAACCCTTGCCATGGATTTCTTTGGGAGAAAAAGGAATGTGGGTGGAGACACCTCAGTTGCCATATAAACCTCCGTATCAGTGGGGTTGGACTCTACAGCTGACAAATGTGTATTAGTGACAACCATTTTCTTTCAAATTCCCATCATAATTTTTGTGGATAATTGGAGCTTAGTCAATATGGGGTTACTTAGTGTATGTGTGAGCCCAGAATGGGATATTGGTCATAGGAATGATTTCATACATTGATCTTTTTCCTTATTCAACTTTCTTTATTCTAGCACCTTTTGAAATGAGGTCATATGAAAATATATAATACTTATCAAGAGTACACAGGAAATATAAATAAAATGTAATGGTTTACAAAAGGCAGACTAAACAGAAAACTTAATGTCTACAAACATAAATGTTGGATTACATCTTAGGAGAACTTTATGGACAGAAAAGTGTTTGGGTACAGTTTCTTCCTTCCCATATCTTAAAGCAAACACTGTATACTGAATTTTGTCTGAAATGGATTTGTAGTCTCATTGTGGTGGTGTCTTTATTAAAATCAAAGCCCTGATCCAGCCAAAGTTAGGCATGACTAATAGTACAATCCCATCCCTGTCTATATAAAAGTCTTACTGAGGTCAGTGGTGCTTGTTCCCAGCAAAAGGTGTTTAGGATTGCAGCTTTAGTTCTGCTGAAAGCAATGAGACTTAATTATGCCAAACTTAACTTTTCCCATTAGTTGTGATTGGATTTATTTATAACTGACTTTAGCTGGATTGGGGCCATAAGGTTTACTCAGTCTTATTACCTACCTCACTTTCTCCTCATTCCTCTTGAACGGTTCTAATACCATATATGAAGTTGTGTATTTGGAGCCTACAAGGGTAGTTAGAAATGGCCTATTTTATAAAATGTCTTATATTTTATGTATAAATACTTATACCCAAACAAACCCTACCAGTTTATGGCTGTTTGGGTTTGTGGAAGGGGCAGCTGAACTATTTAATTCAGGCCTGATACCCTACCAATTTATGGCTATCTCATGTTGGATCAAGCTTCATAAATCCAGGAAAATGGGAGCAGTGTTGCAGATTGTGCCTGCTTTCAACTTAGCTTCCTTGAACCCACACTTTTGAGTCTTTCGTGCCCAAATCCAGATGGGAAAGATGGAATGCCAGGGGTGGGAAAGGAGACTCACATTGTCCTGGTCCTGTAATTGCCTTATGAAAAATACAAGCCTTGCTATAATGATAGAAGACTTTCTATGAGTCCATACACATGGTTGGTTGCATGCAAGCAATGAGTGGTGACCTTGCACAACAGCATTACTGGTCATAGGGACAAGGCATGCCTGCTAAAGCCATCAGCCTTAGCTTCCAATTTCGTGGTTTGGTGGAGCTTGAGCTGACATGAAATAGCTCTGGGCTTAATCCCACAACTTTCTACAAAGGAAATTCATTGTTGCAGTCTTCTTAACCCTGCCAACTCACCCCCCTGCAACCCCTCCAAACTCTGAACAATAAAAACTTAGTTATAATTAAATCATTGTGTGCAGATGAATAGATATGGCTCTGTATGTTCAGAAAGACTTCTGAGTAAGCCAGCACAGGATCCAACATACCCATACCATCCTCTCACCATCAGCAGTCACACTGTGAGTGAATCCTCCAGCCTTCAAAATGACCTTTTATCTGAGCTGTTCCCTGTTACCCCCTCCTCACTATCAGAATGAAGAAAACTCTGGAATTCCCCTGAAAACTCTGGCAGCATTCTAGTTCCAGAGTAAATCTGAACTTGCTCAACTTAATGCAGTAGCGATCGCTTCCATAGGTGTTTCTGCCCCGTGAAAGTCTTAGTAACTTTTGAACCACTGCTCAGAACTTAACAAACCAATGAAAAGCCCATCTTCTTGCAATTGTGAATAAAGTACATTAGTAACTTTCACCAAAATAGAAAAAATACAATATGCTGAACTGCAGATTGGAGCAAGAAGTACAAATGTGTCCATCTTTAACTTGCTGTACCTGTAGCAATTTTTATTGGATCACTCTGACATTTTGCAGGAATGTAGAGCTCACTGGGTACATCATGAATGCTCAAAAGGTGTCATGTTTATTGTCTGGCTTACTGGAACCTTTTTGTTGAGACCCAGTTTAATTAAGGGTGCTAATTACTAGAGCTTGAGGAAAAAATGGTATGATTAAGATGTTTTTCCAAATGGCTCAATTAGTTTGCATATGTAAAAAATGAGGCATATTTTCTTTAAAAATATCTAAATGTTGATAATAGTGGCAATTTTATATAGAGCACTTCTCTGGTAATGTTTTGTTTAAAATGGCTAAAGCAAAAGGGCAACTGAACGCTGGATTATAGTTATTGTTGCTTTCCACCCTTACAAATACATCTTTGCTTCTCTGTGTTAGTGACTTAAGCTGGTGTATAGCAGCAGCAACAGTAAGATCTGTGTGTTTAGGTTGTGGGCTGTCATAGCTGATCCTGCTGCAAGTGCATGCAACTGAACAACCAGGAATGCTATTATCCCTGGCTTGCTTAGCATTGCATCTAAACTTGATGTTGGGGTTCAGATGTAATACTAACACCAGCATACAACACCATGCTGCCTCCTTCATGTGCCAACCCGCATGAAAACCAAATTGAAAACTTCCCAGGGCAGGACATTGTTGTGGATGTTTAAAATTATTGTACATAATCTTTGTTAAAATAGTTTATTGTGATTTGGCTATTTCATAGGGCTCCAATTAATACAAATTAAAAATATTTACAAAATGACTGTGTACAGCAGTAGCTGTTTATAAACAGTGTAAACATAATATTTACTAGAAACAATCTATTCCAACTCCAGAGCATTAGCAAACATATTCCCCATTATACTGTTTGGAGAACAACATATCCTCATTACATGCATTTACTTACTATCAGTAGCCCAAACCTAAAGCACAAAAAGTGATAGTGCTGCACTCACATTCTTTGGGGACTGGAGGCCTGAAGGTGCTGAGATAGCTAGGAGAGAAGGAGGCATCCCTGTAATCCCCGCAAACCCCTTTCCCATAGTAGAAAGCATGAAGATGAGCTACTGATCAGAGCTTCTCAAGCTTGAAAGGGGTTGGGAGGGCACATAGGCCAACTCCTGTCTTACCTTCCTGGTGCTTCACCCAGAAGCCACTCCTAATAGTCATCTGGAAGCGCTGCTGAATACAGAGCTGGGACACAGAGTCATTCACTCCCCTTCCTGACAGTCCTACTATGATTCTTAAGAACTTCCATTCACAAATCAGCAATTAATTTCGTAGACTGAGAACTGTCCCTAAATTCAGAAAGGCTGGGAATGTCATCCTTCCCTCCAGTCTTGGGAATTGGAAGCCTGACCTTGCCATCTTACTACTTTTGTTGCTGTCTGCACAATTACATAGCCAGATATCCATTTTCCAACCCTTAGTGCTGATGCTAGATTTTCACCGTCTCTTTGTAAACAAGTTACTCGTAACAGAGACTGCCTCAGTGCAAAAGCTTCAGCAGTTTCTTTTCTGACTAAATTTTATTTTGGTCAGGTGTTGCAATCACTATCTCAGTATAAAAGCTCCTTTAAAATGCATTCTTTTTGCAGGGGGAATAATCCTACACCATTCTGATAATGAGGTTCCTTATTAAATGAAGTATTCACAATGACTGAACACAAAGAATGCTGTAGGTTGCACATCTTGCTAAGGATTTCATTTCTCTAGTTGCTGAGGGGTGCTGAAAGCTTCATAAACGTTAGCAGCAAAGTCTTTCACTTGTTCCATCATTAACAGGTCCTGGAAAGAATATTGTTTTATTGCATTATTTCTACATAAGCAAATGCATAGTACCAACAAGCAGTGATGATATTTGTCACTTGCTGCACTAGCATGTCATCATGAAACACGTTACCTCACTCGGGAGGAGGACTGCACCAGTGCCAGCACTCAGCATCATCGTGACTGGGAACAATCACATGAGATGTGGGAATACATGATGCACAAGATGCATACTTTTCTGCTCCCTCACCACCTGTGTGATGTCCGACGCCAACCCTGAGTGCTTCATGCATCAAAAGAAGCCCAAGGCTGCTCTTCCACCACTGTTTCTATGATTCCTGACTCATGCTAATAGCTTTTAAAGAGTAGACTTTAAAGAGTAGACAAAATAAGTTTTGCACATTGCCTCTTTTTCCTTGATTTAAACAGGAGTATTGCAAACCATTGTAACAACAGTATGTCTGTTTTATTCTTCCTATAGCGTTTATAATATACACTTGTGTGAAACAAACAAGACAAAATTGGCTGATAGAATGCTTAATAATAAAAAGTCTTAATTTCCACCTGATTTTAGATGTGAAATTATCTAATTATTATTTTTTCCCCTATCTGGACTGTTTTAAGACTGTATAAATGCATGTGTAGAAAGCTTGGTATGCATTTCTTAAAATAATAGATTAAAGGCAAAAAAGATTTTGCCTAAACATGTATAAGATTGCTCCTTAAGACAACAAGCCAAAAAAAAAAAAAAAATCCTTACCTGAACAAAATGACTGGGTGTTTCACAGCAGACTGAATGGATCTGCCCATTTATTATTGGAATTATCTTGGCTAAAGGAAGACTGACACTGGAAAGACTAGAGCAGGAAAAAAAAAAAACCCCACTGAGATGTTTCCATACACAGCCTAAAGTTCTATCTGATTAGATATGTCTGCAGCATACGGATCCTACAGCCAACTCCAGAAAGATAGCAAATACGGACTAGGAGTACAAGTTAACAGATACTCTTCCCAAATATGATGATTTGTACTCCCATAGCTATTAGCCCCTAAACACCACAGTTCTGTGATCAGCACATGAGAAATCAAATAAAACTTTTATGTCTATATACTCAGCATTTCTCTAATTTTATGTGCTAAACGTTTAGGTTCACTGTGTGTAGGTGTAAAAGCTGGGCAGTGAAGAAAGCCGATACATTCGAAACATAGTGTTGGAGAGCTTTGTGAATATCCTGGACTGAAACAAACAAGTGGGTTCTATATCCTATCAAACCAGAATTTTCTGTAGAAGCAAAAATGACAAAACTGAAGCTATCATACTTTGGGCACATTATGAGAAAGCCCAAATATCACTAGGAAAACTGAAGGCAGAAAAAAGGAAAATAAAATATGGACTGACTTCATAAAGGAAGTCACAGTCCTGAGTTCACAAGAGTTCAGCTGGGCTGTCAAGAACAAGACTTTGGAGGGCTTTATTGGGTTGCCTTAACTCAGAGATGACATGACAGCACATAATTTAAAAAAAAATGTATATAAATGGCAGTTCTGTATTACTGTTAAGTAGCCAGTTGGGGTTCTTTGAAGATTCTTGCACCAACAAGTATGTGCTTGATGACCACAAAAGCCAAGTATGTGATCTGTATGACCAATTTACACATTACCAGAAGCTGAAGCCACTGCAGCACAGCTGCTCAGTAACATTTGAAAGAAGTTAATAATCTGAGAGCCCTGGTATCATCTTGACCCAATGCTTGTTGACACTGTGGAAAATGAACACATCACCAGCCATACCTATGCACCCTAGTTCCTTCAAAATCTTTCTGCATTAGTGTTGAAGCACCTAAGCTATCCCTTCGGGCAAGACATTCATTTGTAGCTTGCTCATTACACAGACTGGCCTGGAAAAGCTGGCTATTTTTCAACTGCTGTGCTGGTCCAACTATTGCTACCTGTGAAGTAAATTCCCAATTAATGTTTCTGAAGAGTCTCTGAAGGCAGCCTTAGTCACAATAGTCCAAATGCAAGTTTTTGTCATGTGTGGCCATGGCCTTATCAGGCATCTCTAGGAACAGGCATAGCTGGGATATTCTCAGCTGTGTAAACACTCTAAGTCTACACCTGGAAATCCAGGTACAGGGCAAGAGCTAAGAGTATGCCTAACTGTGAGCCTGTGTCTTCAGGGAGAATGTGAACCCAACCAGCAGAGGTTGAATCCCTATTCCCTGACCTAAGTTCAACTGAACAAATGCTCTTCAGCCTTGTCTATATTAAGTGCCCATTTGTTCACCCTCATCCAGTCCATCTGATTTAGGCACTGATTCGGAACCAGAACAGCTTCTTTGGATTTAAGATGGGAAAGAGAGAAAGAGCAATAGGTCATGAGCACCGAACTCGCAAACCACAAGCACCCTTTCCCAGCAATGTTAAAAAGCATGGGAAATAAGATGGTACCCTGAAGGGGATCACAAGGTGTTGAGCAAGAATCCTCCTAAGATTGTCCCTGCAGAAAGGACTGGAGCCACTGTATAACAGCACCTTCCGGTGCCATCTCAGAGAGAAGCCTCAGAAGACTACTGTAGCTGATAGTATCAAAAGAGCTTGCTCTAGATCAAAGAGCAGAAATATATGATGTCTATCTCCAGTGTGTTGTGTGAGCAGGGTGAAATCTCAGCCAGTTCCTTTCTTTATATTTGGTAGGAACACCAATACATGTAACTCTGACTCTACTCAAACTCCTTTTACATGAAAATAAGCTTGCTTTTCGATACTGACCTGTTCATAGAACCATTACGACATATGTCCTGTTCAGTGGGTCTGAAGAATTCTGCCATATTGTCCAATAATCGACTGAATCCTCTATTTAAGCACGAACTCAAAACTCTATTAAAATCTGGACTGGAATCAATAAATAAAACCAAAATCAATCCCTATATTGTTAACCAGGCTTGATGTTCTCCTGCTGGGGAGACAGAAATGATAAAGCAGTATGGAGGAAAAGCAGACTGCTCCTGAATATGGTACTTTCATATAATAAACTCTCACTTTGTAGTCATGCACTTAACACATTTTTAACTGCAAGAAATCTGGCCAAGGAGATATCACAAGAACTTAATAAGACATATTTGGGAAAAAAGAGGCATCGGAAGTGCTGCCCTGTTCCTGCACTGTAAAGTTATAGTTAATGAAATTTTAGGTACACAGACAAGAAAGAGCTCTAATGGAGAATAGTCTGCTACAGTAGCACAGAACTCACATTTGCCCAAACTCACATTTGCTCAAACATTACTTTTCTTATACTTGTAGAGCAGACTTGCCAAGATCCAACCTACTAATCTGATCTCAGTATACTCTATTTACTTCCTGCCCAGGGCTACACAAACTTGAGGCTTGTTAAGCACCTGGCAACTCACAATGCTTGCTGAGTGACAAGAACAGCCAAACCACACTACTGAGCTGCTGTGTGACCTGTAGGGGGGCACACCATATAGTGGAGGAAGGGGCACACAATGCCAAATTTAATTTCATGTGACCCTCAGTATCATCTGACTCTCCAGCTGGTACAGACAACTCCTTGATCTCTGTATCATCCTTTTGCCAATCACTTTTTTCCTGCTGTGTATGTCCATGCATAGGAAAGGGCAGGAAAGAGACAAGGCAGCACAGAGATTATGCAATGCAGAAATTCCACCTCCTTTTGGCTATCTTTGCCCAGCACAGGCCGAAGTCCCTCAGTTCACTCTTCTGATTGTCAACCTTTTCATAGGAAAAAGATTCCCCACATATGCCACATCGTTTTTCATGTATACTGGTTTGCTTGGCAGAACTTTTAATTTCACCTTGCCACATTCTAATAAATACGTAAGCAAAAGGTGCTGCCATAATGAAAAATTTAAGGTTCCACATGATAGACAACCAGTGAAAATAGATACCTATATGGAAATAGCCAGCCAATGTTTGTTTTAAAGGAACCAACACATAGGGTCATTCTCTGTTCCTGTTCTTCCAAGTTATGGAGGAATTTTCTATGCATTTGCATGCTCCTTTCTTCACTCTCATGCCCTAATTTCTTCTTCATTGACCTTCTAAGGTTTTCTTTCACACTGGGAACTGAAATGGGGTTCAGTCCCCAGTTTGGCAGCAATCTGTATTTGCTCCAATTCACTTCTAATGGCAAACCACAGTTTACTCAAATGAGGAAGCCAGAGGAGAAAACAAAGCACATGAGGGGGAGACAATGCAGGATCGAGCCTGGATATCCATTGTGTGAAAGGTCAATGATCTTATATCTAACCAACCTACAAGCTCTTAGTTATTCACATGGGTCCTTCATGCTGTTCGTAAGTGCTCATTTTTAGTTATAACAGAATGTTCTACAAATTACTTTCTGTCAATGTCAGTTTCATATTTTTCTTATTTAACTGTGCATGTTATGTATGCTTACAGAAACAAGTGCCTCTTGTCCAATGGGTGTTACTTTCTAATAAGCTTGCTTAAGATTTCAGTTTAGTTAGGCTAAGATGTTTAGCCATAACAAAAGTTCTCAAAATTTGCTGCATACCTTTCCAACATATCTCTTGTTTCATTAAGTAATTTAATAGTAGCAACATCTTTTTCTGTAAGTCCATTGGCCTAGAAAGACAAAGCATAAAAGCAACTTAGATAGTACTACAATGGATACCCTTGATTATTGTATCTATTTTCAGCTGTTTGGTTTGGTTTGATTCTCATTCTGGTTGATACCAATTAAAAGATTTTAAGTTCAGGCTTCAGTTCTGTATCAGTAAGAAGAAATGTCCAAATAAAGTTCCAAACCCAGCATGCTCAGATTCTTGTTTCATTCCTTGTTATCAGTGCTATAGCAGATACCTGGGAAGCTAAAGGATTTTCCTCATCAGGCATCATGTAATGACACAGCAGAAACTGGGATCCAAATTCTTCAGGTGATGTTTCTCCTGGTTGTTCTATTGCTCTCCTAATTTCTTTTAGCTTCTGGTCCAAATCCAAGAGGGAAAGTGCATGTTTGAGAGAAATGCTGCAAGAAGTTTTAAACAGTTATTTATCACATCAGTGGCATAAATTTCAGTCACTCTGAATACAAAATAAAACTTAACAAATAGCTGAAAAAGAAAGAAGCCAGCTGTTTTTACCTCCCAAATACATCCTGCACAGCTCTTTTAATCACAGTAATCAATTCAGTCAAGCCTAGTGCAGAAAGGAAAAGAAGTTATTGAAGACTAATTGCAACTTGTTCAAATTTGGCAGAAAGTGATAGTACATAAATAATAGTTTCACTGATATCATACCATCTCCAAGAAGATGTTGAATGCTGGATAAATATTGCTGTTGGACTTCAGGGGGAGCTAGAAGTGTCTTGAAGGAAAAATGTTTCTGTTACTTTAGGAAGCAGATGTTTTCACTTTCCTGTTGTTGTTCGCACTCTCAAGATAACCCAGTTTTTAATGGCCTCAGCCATCTTTGAATATAGAATAGAGAACAGAACTATCCAAATATATTTTAAAACCTTCAGTTTTCAATTATGATTAAGAGCTATCCTTGGAAGCTCCAGCACAAGCACACATTTCCACATTGTGCAAAAACTTGGGCAGCAGCCTGTTCAATGCTACAGAAATGGAAAATAGATCACACATGAAAATATCTTTTACATTACGAGAATGAGAGCATCATCTGTACTACTTAACATCATTCTGTCTTGCATAGTGTTAGGGGACTTAAGCTAGTATAACTGTGTGCTGGATTCAACAAATGACTGCCGTTCTTACTGAATTTTCAGTCCTCAAAAGTTAGATGCTTCACTCCATGTACTTACTGTGCCATTTTTGCAAATTGCTGCATTATCCAGGTAGATGTATCCACCAATGATATTTAACTGCACTCGCAAAAGAACTACAAGCATACATGTGCTATATACGGCAACAATGCTTCTTGTAAAACCTTTAATAAGACAGAAATACAATTGTTTAGAAGCTAAATTAAAAGGAACAGGCATTTATTACTCTAAGATATTGAAATTGGTATCAAATGTAATATACATTGTATATATGCTGTTCTTCTGCAATCAAAGCTATGTATCTAAAGCGTATTTGGAAAGGAAATCTCCATTTGATCCTTTTGGCAAAACTCTGTCTTTTTTGGATAAGAAAGGGCTCAAAATGATCCAAGTAATAACACACATACCTCAAAGTGCAGCAAGACACAGGACAGAGAAGGAAGCTGCTGGAATGAAAACAGCTGACAACTTTCAACTATTGATTGATTTCAAAGATAATAATTTTCTGCAAAAACCTATGCTCAAGCTTTAGTAGTTCTTACAACTAAACAAGGTGTTGGTATATAAGCAGGTACACTCTCATAACAACTAAGAAAGCCTCCTACGAGTATAACACAGAAATGATACACTTCAAGGAGAGGGAGAAGCAGCATGCACTACAATAACAGGAAATATATCGGCTGGGTTCACACAATCACTGGGGCTTTTTTCCCTCCATCCTACATTGGCCAACTGCATGCCAATTTGCCTGATGACCTTGGTGGCAGGATGGCAGTGGTTTCCATACTACCCCCAAACCCACGGCTTACTTTAGGATTCTGGGGTGGTTTTGCAGGTGCTCCCCACCATGTACTTCACCAGACATGGCAAGCAGTGCAGTGAAAAGTAATGACACAAATCACATGTCATGCTTCTTTTCTTCAATGATCTATTCTTGAGAATCATAGATTATCCACAATATTGAAATGTGGATATTTAAAGAAGTTAAAAAATTACAACAAGGTGATAGCAAAGCACACACAACATGCTGTAGCCATACTATACAATCCACTAGAGTTTTGCAAGGGGAAATTCAATATGTATTTTCCTTTTCTTCCCATTGAATTGTAGCTATTAATTCTCATAGATCTGTATTGTTCTTTAGACTTATGGAAAGTAATTGTTACAATTCTATGCACACTTTTCAAGGAGAAAGCACCAATGAACAGAATAGAACTTCTGAGTTACCACACTTTGCTCACAACAATTTGCAAAGTGCACTGGAACTGATCCAATGAATTGGGGGACAAAGAACTGCCATTTTAATTAAAACTAGAAGTTTTAATGATTTAATTACTTACTTATTATTTTCAAATCTTCCCATATTTCTAACTTGTTCACTGGTCTGTGGAAAGAAAAGAACAGAAACATTCAGAACTAATGAAGTTGGCAGAAAGAAAACCAAGTTTCAGTCTCCATTAACATCTCAACTATTAGAACAGACCCAACTTTTGAAATGATGACAGGAAAGTACTCAATAAATGCTGTGGTTCATGAAGAGGTATCTAGCAAATCTGCACCTGTGAGGAAATGTATAACTATAGCCCTAGGCAGCCTTTGTAAAAAACATTTTTTCAAGCAACTAGATCAATACCTGGGATTTGCTTTATGTCAGGGTGGAAGGTCTAACTTCTCTTTATTGTAAATCTTACATGGCTTTATCAGGATATGAGGGGTTTAAATGCTTCAGCAACAGAGAAATTGCTAAATAGGTTGCAGAGAAGAAGCCTCTCACACAATCACTATGCAAGAACATACCACTTATAACTCAGATTTAGAGAACAGGCAGTCAAAGCAAATCTGTGTATAGTATGCGCCAACAGGCTGTACGTACTTGTTTTTCAACAGTGAAGTGAGACTCTCGGAATTCAACTGATACATCAAAGCATCTCTTAGAGTTGGAAGCATTGACAGTACTATTAATGAAAAGCAAACAATCAGGAAAGTAATAAGCATCTATGGAGTCTCATCAACAAACGGAAAATAAGAAGCATTTAAGGCATGTACTACTGTGAAGAGTAAGAGTCTAAAAAGAAAGTTCAAAGAAAACTCTATTGTAACAATTCTAACACTACATTAGTCAAAGCATTAATTGAATAGGGCCTTTGGCTATAGCTATTTAATAACTATAAGAGCCACTTGATTTCCTTTTCTGATTAAAAAACCTTAAACATTTCAGAGAGAACAAGAGCAGAAGAGTGCATGATGAAGTTTTGTAAAGTACTGTTTGTTGTTTTGATTACCCTTTTTAATAACAGGTACAAAGAGCACTTGCAAGACTAGATAACTTATTTATAATCAGAGAGAAAAACATCTTAGCTCATTACAGTAAAGGAAGCTCAGTATGGATATAATGAAAAAAGAGGCTTAACACAGAAGCACAGTACAAGAATAGTCCATGAGTGGTGCAGAAAATCAATAAGAAAAATCAACTAATGGAGCCATTCTATGGCGTCCAGCAGCATCTGAGGGGCTATATAGGGTTCAGATTCCCAGATCTCAAGTCCAAGACAGTGCTTCAATCTCAGAGGAGGAAATCAGAACTTCAGCCACCTTCTCCCTTGCAGCCAACATGGAAGGAACCACATGGCTTCTCTTCAAGTGATCTGAGAGAGGGGTGAAAAGGGGAAGGAAAGGAAGAGACTGGAGAGGCCAGGCTATGAGCCATCCTGATGTTTCTCCAGCCTCCTTTCCTCCCTTGCCAAGACACACCAGGTAGGACAACATGTAGGCCAGGATGACAGGGAGGCAAAGGTCACCTCCACCACTCCTTCCACTCTGCACTGGATGACTGTAAGTCTCCAAGTGTGTAGGTTTATGGCCACTTGCCATAGGATTCTGCCCTTTTAAAAGTCCTTATTTTGGCAGGGATAGTCTTTTGTTAATTTCAAAAGTTGGTTGCCATTAGGAGATGCTGTCCAAACACAAGTATTTCAGAAATACAAGAGGAGATGCAGAGTTCTTTGAATCGCAAGTATCATGTGCATCTGTCAAAATCAGTTTGAGGATGACCACTCAGTTCCGATGTCACAACAAACCATGGTTGAACTTAAACTGTGACTTGGCATGACAAAACTATGACTTGTGATCAAGCTGATGAACAAGAATCAGAAACCATAATTTTGACAAACATGGTTGTATGAGCAGCGGTATGATGCCTGAATAGGCAATCTATAGTTCAAGCCACTGCTCAGCCTCCAGAGGGTGTTACAGCACAGAAACTGAAGTGGGAAAGTTGAAAGCTAAAGCAGACACGCAGCACCAATTTTGGCTTGCCTGAGGTACAGTCAACTGGTATGGCCCAAACTGAGGCACAGACAGTGATTACCTTACCTGTCATATTGCAGGTCCTCTGGTTACTTTCAAAATGATACTGCCTTCGTGCTTGTGCTATGTATTCTGCTGCTTCTCTTTCTTGGATTTCTTTCATTTTTTTCTGCCCATATTTTCCAAGTACGTAGACACCTGCAAAAGTTGTTTTAGAAGAGGGGTAAGGGCTTACCAGTTCTGTGAGATTGGCTTTTCTGTTCCTTCTGCTCCCCTTTGAAACAGATCTCTTGATATTTATACTACAACTGTAGAAATTACCAAATTATCCAGAGAATGTTTTCATAATTTGGACAAGTCACAGGTGGACAATGCATGCCCTGCAGGTTACATATGACCGTTGGCTCCCCCAACTCAACAGCAGGTTGCCATGTCCTGACTCACTTTGATCAAGAACTTGAATCAGCACCTTGCCCTCTCCTTCAGTGCTAGGCTGAGAGAAAAAGAGGTCCATTTCCCTTCCAAGGATGGAAAGATTTCTCTCCAACCAGAAGAGAAAGCAAGCTGTATGAAAGGTAACTGTGTGAGGCAGGAATGTGGATGGATGGAAATACTATGAGAGAGAGGGAGGGAGGGAGGAAGGGAAGGATGACAGGACAGGAAAAAGATGCTCTATTTTATATGCTTAAGAGTGTCTTTGATGCTAACTTCCTTCAGATTATGGATGAACTGATGGGCTTGTGTGATGTTGTAAATGCATCAAGATATGTAAAAGAAAATGGAAGAGAGGGGAATCAAGAAGGAATTTTGATGATGGCTCTGCCCACTGCTGTTATGTGGCCTCCAGTCATTTGATAGAATGTGGCCTTTAACTCCAAAAAGCTCTCTTTGGAAATAGTAAGGCCACACCCCAGTGCAGGTCCACAGAAACTGGGAGCCTGCCAGAACCATACTTTCTAAATTCCCACACAGCTTTTCCCCTCTTGGGCAAGAAGATTATGAGCTCTAATCGATTGTGATGGCAGAATTTAGAATACTGAATGTCCTACTCAGCACAAGCAAGAATTTCCTCACATGAAAAAAGTAAAGCAGATATGAAACCCTTTGCTACAAAATTATAAATGCTTGTTTTAAGAAGCCTAAACCATGTACAGTTATAGAATGAGTACAATACAGTTTAAAAGGAAGACAATTTCCAGCCATGTAGGCTGCAGTTTCTACAAACATTCCACATATATTGTAGGTAATTAATGCAGCAATGTTTTGAGAACTAACTCAAAGCAAAACCATTATGCTTAATAGCAATAAGCATGGGGGAAGCCATTCTCACGCTGAACACTTGGTCAGGATGTCAGGTGCTGCATGTCAGGAGTGCCACAGGATACTGTTCTAGGCCTTGTGTTGTTCAATATTTTTATAAGTAACTTGGGCAGAAAGAGGTTGTGCATTAACATTAAGGAACACAAAGCTAGGAAGCTTAATCAATGCTAGAGATGATAGGATTTGAGATTAAAAAGGATCTAGACAGGCTCAAACACTGGACCAAATCTAATAAGGTGAGGTTCAACAGAAATAAATGTAAATCTGAAACACAAGTATAGGATAGCAGAGACTTGGCAACAGAAAAAAACCTAGGTGTTTTTGAGGATCACAAGCAAAATATGAGAAAGCAGTGTGATGTGGCTAATGCAATCTTGGGCTTCATTCACAAAAACCTAGTGCCCAGGTCATGGGAAGTAATGGTTCACCTTTATTTTGTGTTGGCCAGGTCATATCTGTCCAGTTCTAGGTGCCCATCCTAAGAAAGAAATTAGCAAGCTGGAACACATCCAGAGAAGAGATACCAGGATGGTGAGGAGTCTAGAAGTCAAGTCTCATAAAGAACCGTGGGAAGAACTCATTTCTTTAATTTTGGAATAAGACGATTAAGAAAAGACATGATGGCACTCTTCAAATATCTGAAAGGCTCCCAAGCAGAAGACAGAGTAGACTTGTTCTCTGTTGTTCCTGAGGGCAGTTGTTGTTGTTGTAAGTTGTGAAGTTGCGTCCGACCCATCGCGACCCCATGGACAACATTCCTCCAGGCTTTCCTGTCCTCCTGAGGGCAGTACTAGAACCAATGAATAGAAGTTGAAAGGACGCAGATTTTGGCTAAATGTTAGAATAATCTTCCTGACAGTGAGAACTGCTCAGCAGTGGAACCGATTATTTAAGCGGGTGGTAGGTTCTTCTTCACTGGAGGCATTTAAGTAGTGGGGCATTTGTGTGTTCCCAGTCTTTCTCAGCACTGGGGCACAAAAAAGGGTGTATCTCTGATCTGCTGCAGATCATAGATAAGTCCTTCTCACCTCTCTTAGTGGGGAAAAGGACAGAGTGAGGGGAAGAAGTTTGGTGTCCCACTATAGGCCATGTTTGGCCTGCTTGTCAAAGGTTTCCTATGTCTTCTTAACAGTTTAGGGTTAGGGTTAGGAACCATAGCAAGGGAGACTATTGTGCAGCCTTACTGCATACTTCCACAGATTTACCTAATATCATTGGTTGCCCTTTTGTGTACCACCCATGTAAGCAGTTATTTTTAATGTACCTCTGCACACGTTCTTTAATGAACTTCTTAATAGCTGAGCTGCATGTCAGGTACAAGGAGGAACATGTCAGGTACATCTAGTGAAACCCCAGGAAAGAAACTGCACTTTCCAATAGTATACTCTTGTACTTCATTTTTTTTCTATGAACATGTAGGTGAGAAGGATGAGTTTATGCAAGCAGCTATGAGCAAACAGAGAAGATAATCTGATATAGGCAGATTAATAAAAGAATGGGCCTGAACTTGAAAACCTTCCATCCTTGTCATCTTAAATAAGCTGGTGGGGGAGGGAGCTTTTCAAGGCAAGAAAAGCAAGTGAAGCCTTACTGAAATAAAAGCTAGAAATCAGTGTATATGTTAAGAAACAAAGAAGGAACAGCAGTCTGGGAGAGAAGAGTGGTTGCCATAGAGAAAGATGAGCAGGAGAGCCATCAACTCTCAGCCTCAGCCCAATCTTTAATATGGGAATGCTCATACTAGTCTCCTTATTGGGTTCTTGGTGCTGTAACCAAGGTATGTGTAACCACATAGAAATACACAAACAGAGTGAGTCAGAAGGGATCTCCCATGCCATCTAGTCTGACCCCTGGTTCCACTCATGACATGCCTTCCATGTGCATGTCCAGCCTATCCTTGAACATGAACTCCAGGAACGAATTATCATTGCTTGGGCAGGTTATTAAATATAAAGCTGCAGTTTCTATGCACACTTCCCTATACACAAGCCTAATGGACACATGGACAGGCAGCAGCAAGGAGCAAGGCAACAGAATGGGATCTGTCTGGAGAACTGGGAGGAGGGGCACCATGCAGGGGGCTATGGGGTTGCGGGGCAGTCCGGGCAGGCGCGGGTGGCGGTGGAACTGCTAATAAGAAAAAGGTGGCTGGGGGCTGCTCCTGGGTGCGCTAGGACGGTGGGAGGTGCGGTGCAGCGCCCGGGCAAGCACATGCAAGCAAACGAAGTTTCTTCCCAGATGTGGAATCACTCACCGCCCAGGAAAGCGCCCAAGAAGAAGCATTTCCTCTTGTGACGCTTAAGGAAGCCCCACACAGCCAGCAGCATCCCGGTACCGGCGAAGTCCCAGGCCTGCCACCGCAGCGCAGCAGCCGCAAGATAGCGCCCGCCCCCTGCGCCCCAGACGTCGATCACGCAAGACAGCCAGCCCAAGAGAGCAGCGTCCTCCCCTTTTTTATTCCCCCACCTCGCCGCAGTTCGTTCTTTATGCGGATCCTCCGGAAGCTGTGGCCCTTTACGCTTAGTTCCGCGCTGCAGCGGCGTCGCCTTTTCACTTTAGCGATGGAAGCGGGGTCGAGGCAGGTGGTGACCCCTGGAGAGCGCGCGGCCTGGATGGACCAAGCTGTGAACATGGTGAGTTGGAGGGAGGAAAGATTCGAGGAGGGCCGGGGGACTGTTGTAAAAACAAAGAAGTCTTGTCGTATCTTAATATCCTAAATAGAATGATTGCTATATAAGCCAGACTCTTCTAGGCTGGTGCCCTCCACATCTATTGGACTACAATTCCCAAGACTTCAACTGGGGGATGCTGGGAGTTGTGGTCCAACGTATCTGGAGAGCTCCAGGTTGGAGAAGATTGGTATTGACTCAACAGATTACTGAATCAGATACGAATTAAGCAGAAACTGGATTTTATATCTTTAAGCAAGCTATGAACGATTGAAAATCTTACACCCCTGCTCTGTCTCGTGTTGTATTAACATACATGAATACGGAAGTGGTGGCGGGGCATTGCTTCCTGAAAATCATGTGAGAACTAGGTGGGAGCAGCACCCGCCCGAAAGAGAGGGTCGCTAAACGTGAGGAAGGATGTTTGAAATCCATCATGCCTTTGCATAATATCGCTAGGGATGTTGGAGAAATCTCCAATGGATTCAAGCAAGCTTGGATTTCTAGGATTCTGACCTGCAGATTCCATAGCAGACTGGGCTGCCCCTCCACCCCCAAGACTGAGGACTTGCAAACCGTCATGTTTACTTGTGGATGTAGCGGGAATTGCACTAATGCACACTGGTACAAATGGAACAAAATTCTTCTACATCCCTGAACAAGATTTGGTTCTGATAGTGAGCAGATGACAGAATGAAAGACAGCTGGCAACCCATGAAGTGCAGATGGAATAGATGTAATAAAAACTGTACAGTAAATCCCTACTGAGTATCAGCCCAACACTTTTCAGTAGGGTCTCCCATACAGTATAATCTCCAGGTGGTGGTGATGGAATATGGGCTGTTCTGAGGAATATTCCAGGGTGCAACTTCTCCTTCATATGTGTGCCACCAAAAGAACAGGGTGGGTGATACCACATCTGAGACCACACTGTATTAAACTAAAAAACTTGTGATGAAAAGAATGGTGTCAGGACATCTCATGGTTGCATTCTTCTAGTCTCATTCGGGGTGGTCCAAACTTCCTTTTGCAATGCAAAACTTTATTCATGTGTTGCCCTGAACACCTCACAGTTGAGCACCTTTCTCAGTAATCAAGTTTCAGGCTAGGTGCAGTGTCAGAACATCTCACAGATTCCCATTTTCCATTGGCATATGGTTTAGGGTGGTTCATGACTTATTTGGGGGAAAGAGATGTGCATATTTCAAAGTCATTCAGGATGCTTCTGTTCAATTTTGAAATAGATAGTAATAACTAAGAATCAACTTTAGCCAGCAGTGTCAGGTCTTGAGCTGCTTCATAAATAAGGACTATACAGGGATCAGTAGCTGGAGGCATGACAAGAGGAAGCAAGTAAAATATGTAAAAGCAAGCAAAGAAGGGGTTGATCCAAAGATATTGCCTACTAACCCACTTCTCAAACATTTGTATACTAAAATCCCATCTTTTTTTCTACAGATTTTCAGGACCTTCTACTCCTTCCAAAGTACTTCTAAAATATATAAAGTCGTTTTGTTTCTTAAGAAGCTTTAATGTATTATGCATGAGTTGTTTTGTTCATAAAATTATAATTAAACTGAAAGAAATCTGGTTAGTCAATGTGTAATTATTCTCTAAATGAACAATACTTCTAAATTTAATATTTCAGCCAGATAATTTTATAAGTTGGCCAAGTTATACATAATACATTTTAAGTTCCTATGTTATGTATGACCAGAGAGAGATTCAGCGAATAGTCTGATGCATCAGAATCCTAGAACTAGAATAAACAAGAACGGGAAGCAGAGCATGAGTAATACCACACCAATTTCTGTTTGGTTGAGATGGAGTTTAGGGAAATCTTATTTGATGGAAAAACTATTGAAAGTTTATTTAGCTGGGGAGGACTCTCTTACCTTTTAAGAATGGTAACCAACCCAGCATATTTAAGAGCCTTTAAGCAATCTCACCATATTATTTGAAGAGTGACATTTTATCACCTTTCATAAATAGTTCATACTGGGCAATAGTGAGATCTGTTCATGCAGTGAGGCTGGTGGAACCCACTGCTTTGCATAAGAGAATCACTAGAGACATGAGCACACTGTAGGTTTCTGCTACATATCTAAGTAGATCAAGCTCAGAAACACAGGACTGTGTGAACAAAACCCAGGCAGTCAAGAATACACATTTCCTTCATATTGGGAAGCTCGGCATGACTTGGGACATCCCTACATCTGCATCAGACAATAACAATAAGAATGTTACTTAGGAATGGAAACTAATTTTGCACAGTGGTTAAAATGGAAATTGAGAGACTTGGGTTCTAGTCCCCACAAAGCCATGAAGCTCAGTGGGTGACTTTAGGTCAGTCACTGGCTTTCAGCCTAACCTCACTGAGGTGTTCTGAGCATAAAATGGAGAGGGGGGAGAGTCTTGTAAGCTATCCTGGGTTCCTTGGAGGAATGGTGGGATGTGCACATAAGAAATAATAACAGAAGAAAGAGCTGTGGTGGGAATCTTACAGAGATTATTAAAAGTATTATCTGCCTGCACCCCATTTACAAATTTCTGGAAATGTTAGAAATTTTGTCTTCCTATAAATGTATTCATATCATGTAAGTTTTAGACATCATTTAGGAGAAGACGGGTGGATAGCAAATTATGAATAGCTTGACTTAAATGTCTCAGGGCATAGTCCTAGGACACTGCAGCATTGTCCAGGGGTGGGCATAGGATAGGTTGGGATACCAGCTCTGCCCTCTGAAAAACACTTTCAGCACCAGCTGTGCTCCAGAGTTGGGAAACAGTCTTCAGGGTCACTGTCTGAGCTGGTGCAGCACTGTCCTCCAAAGAATCCCGGAGTGTCCTTTTTCGTAAGTCAGAAAGAAACTATTTTACAATTAATAACTGTTCAAATTTTTCAATTTGTAAGAAACAACAAAAAAGTAAAACCCCAAAATGTAAAAAACCAGAAAAAAACCATTTCCCTAAGCCTTCACATTGCTGGTATCAGCTTTCTTTTAGCTGTTGTCTTCTCTTTTATATCTGTTATATGTGTTGTGCTACGTACCAGTTTCTTTGCATGGCTCAGCCTAATAATTCTAAACATTAATACAGATAGTGCAAAAGAAGTTCCTAATACAGACACAGTTCAGCTGGTTCTTCTTAGGTTCTTCTCAAGTTCTTCTCACAGACAACTCTGTGCTTTATTTTTCCTGCTATTTTAATTGTTTATTTATCTGTTACTTTTGGAGGGCTCCAGATTTGCCTTCCTGGGTTATGTTATATCCTTTTTTCACTTTATCCTAATCTGTCAGTTGTCATAAGCAGGGAAGTGATGACTTTTCCAAATTTCATAGGTAAGGAGGAGTTGAACTTGCATTTCCTCTATGGAAATAATTAACAAAATTCACTGTGTAATCCTGCTGGGCATCATAATCTTTACTGTTTTTTTCTTCGTGCTCCTGTAATCATCTCATGGGCCTCATGGTGTCTAGCATATTTTTATTTACCTCTCAGGGGTTAAATCTATTTGTAAGTTCTTGGACACTTCATTTACTATGTATTTTTCTCATAAATACCCCTTGGCCCCTCAATGTCACAGATGTTTCAAAAGGAATGTAAAAACGGGCCATGGTTTTCTCATCTAAATGTGGAAAAGGATGCTAACAAGAAGCTACTCTTAAAAACATGCATAACCAAGTGCTTATATTTATGTGTACTAAAGAAAGAAAATGATATATAAATGATGAGATGAATTAATTCTGTTCAGTGAAAGAGACATCTTCAGGGAAAGCTATGTAAGTAAACAGAGGAGGCAGCTCAACTGTGTGGATTACTCTGAAGTCCAACACTGCCCTAAATTCACATCTAAGTTGTCTTGAAAGCCGGTTGTGGTTGAGCTTTATGAAAAGTATGGAGCATGATAATTTCTGCACTTACTGTTGAGTGCAGGTAACTGATCAGTTAGTGTCAAACCGAAACCACAAATAATAGTTCCCATTTAAGTGAAGAAAATTCAGCACTTAAATCAGAGGTGGGTAAGTGACATATACTCCACCCAGCATTAAAATCAATGTCAGGAAGTGAAGTGCTGCAGAACAGACTAGTAGAAACTTGAATTTGTATGCTAGAAGCCTGCCAGTTACAGAAAATGTATCTTTGTCAGGTTTTGCTTCTGATCTGCCCCCTTTGTTTAGGGTTTTTGGCTTTCCATGGACACATCTTTATCCTGTGACTCCTTGTATTGAAGTTGGGGGTTGGGGCATATTTCATACTCACTAAATGCACATATTGAAGGTGGGTGTTGGGGGTAGTGGTTTGAGTACACAACATGTGATAAAGCTGACGCTCTTTCCGATTCTTTTTGTATGTCTCTGCTAGGCTAAGGAAGCACTAGAAAAGGGCGAAGTACCAGTTGGTTGCCTCATGGTCTACAATAATGAGGTCATAGGGAAGGGAAGGAATGAAGTTAATGAAACAAAAAATGTAAGTTGTCTAACCAAACTAAGATAAGCTATTGCACTAGATCAATATGTTTTTAAAATATCCCTTAAGTTGGTACTAGAAATTGTCTTTAGTTTTGCTATCCCAAACCATGCATGTACTCTAAGTTTTGAATGGCACACGTGTGCTTAAGTGCCCTCTTTTGAAATGTTTATACATTTTGTGTTCATCATTGCAAAGTAATCGGTTCTCTGGAGTTATTTCTCAGTTCTTGAACACGACTGCATGCTTCTATTTTGCAAGATCCTGGGCATTTTGCAAGACATTGAGCATGTCTTAAGCTCTGATCTTTGAATGCTTGTGAGCTTTGGCGTGGATCTTGTTAAGTTTACCTGGCAGAGGAACAGATGCTGCTGGATGGACAGATTTTTTCCTCCTGGCTGCTTCCACAACTGGAGAGTTGGATATACTCTGGAGTGGATTTGGAAAAAGAGGATTTCAGGAAGCGATAAGGAAGTCCCATGGGGACGTTTCTTGGCATGACACAGAAAGGAAACTTTGGTTTTCAATTCTTTGCTGTTTTGATTACCTCCTGTGTTGTTGTTCTTGTTTACTGGATTTTCCATGTGAATATACCCAAAGCAAAAGAATTAAATATATCAATCAATTCAATCACATTTTAGCTGAAATATTTCTAGAAATCCAACAAAAAAGCAACAGTGAATTATTGTTATTGTGTAGCATTTATAGCCCACCTTTTTCCTCATATGAGGAAGCCAAGGCAACACAGTTCACAACATTCTTGTGAGGCAGGTTAGACTGAGAGTAAGTGACTGGTGCACAGTCACCCAGGAAGCTTCATGGCCAAGTGAGGACTAGAAGCAGGATCTCCCAGGGTCCTGGTCCAGTACTCTAACCACCACGCCACACTGGCTCTCCAGCACTGAACCCAGCATTGGCATCAAAACCACATTATCCAGTAGTATTCTTAATGCAGTAGACATTGAATATTTGCTCATATAAATATTTTGGTTTATGTTGAAAAGCAGAAAGATGGTATACTGTTTTTATTGAGTATTTTAATTTCTTTGCATATAAGTTTGTTAACAGCCTCCAGTATTTTCTGATTGAAAGGAGATGTATTTTATTTACCCTAATTTTATTTTTATAATTTTATAGTATTTGCCAAAAAGAGCAGCAATTGAAATGAGTGCTCTATTCAGAACAGATACAAAGTGCATGCATGGGTTTTGTTTGTTTTGTTTTCTACTCGGGCATCCATTCTTGCATGCAAAATGTGAAAAGTGGTCCTGAGTGGAATCACATGCTGAGCTGCAGTTCTTCAGCCACAATGTACCTGTCTCAATCTGTTTTATGTTCACCAGGGGGCATTCTTCCAGCATAGCACAACAGATACCTTTCTGAGCATTTCTGTCTGAATTGTCTGGCAGCAGGTGAACAAGAACTGCCAGTGTTTCCTTCCTTCTGTGCAGCATCCTTGCCTGTTTTGTTTTCCCCTTCCCTGTTTCTGCTTGGATAATGTATGTGGTCCTTTCAGCTGTCACATTGCCCTGGCATTGTAAGCTTCACCCTGCCAGTCCACCTGCTTGCCCTTGGAGGTGTTTTGTTAGTCCGTGCTCTGGCAACCAGTCTTGTTTGGTCACTGGAGTGTGTCTGTATTACAGTGACATAGCATCACAAGCATAATTAAAATCTCTTGAGTAGTGTGCAACTGAATACCATGTTCAGCCAAAAGTAACAGTATGGCAGTATCTTAAATGAAATAGATTTAGAAAGGATTGAAATAGCAAGTTTCCAAATTAACAGTCTCTTTAAATTAAAGAGAGCCTTTGCATGGAGGCTCCTAGTGATAATATGGCATCGCACAGCTACTCCATCTTTTCTTTCGTAATGGTTTTTCCTCAGAAAAGACAGATATAAGGTATGGTTGGACAACAGGGGAGGGTATGACTGAAAGATGATGTCCGGGGTTTCCATAACATTCCATGAATGGGTAGAGTGATGGTATGACAAAAGACTCATCTAGAAGCATCCTTAATTAAAAGGTTTCTGGAATAAAGCCAACGTCATTTGCCCCATGAAGAGTAAGAGGGAGGATGCAAGGTGAATTTCCTTCTATGGGGAGTTCCATAACTTGGCCCATAACCAATGTTTGAAATACAGAAATAAACTTGTTATCCATATGGCAAATGGCAGGGAAACTCCTAAAGAGATCTCATTAGTTGATCTCAGTGCATTTGTGGAAAATATATATGGGAAGAAGTATTATTTTCAATAAGCTGTCCCAACATCAAAGAGTAAAATCAGTGTTTTGAATTGGGGCCAGAAACAAATAGGAAGCCAGTGTTATTTTAGGGTCTTGTTTTTTTGGGCCCACTGTAGCCGAGGTGCCACCTTGAGGTCATGGGAAACTGACTTGTATCAAAGGTCAGACCATTGGTCCATCTGGCTCAGTGCTGCCCAGTTGTCCAGTATTTCGAACAGGAATCTGTCCCAGCCCTATTTAGGAACATGAGGCTCTGAACCTTTGTTTTTGCCCAGAGCTCCCCAAAGGCAGGCTTCCATACAGCCTATGGTAGTGGTCTGGTCTAGAAATGACCAAGTATCCAAGAGAGCACCCACCAATTAGTTACTGATCTATGTTATTCCACATCTTCCATGAAACTTATGAGATAAAGTTATGAGATAACTGAATGTTGATAGCATACTGATAATATCACACTCTAGATCCTCTGATGATTGCCAGAGACATTGTTTGAGCATCAGGTCAGAATGAAACCCTATGGCAACAACCGAGTAACTACCATGGGGTTGAACAGAAGTCTGCTAGCATTGTTACCTAGCCTCTGGCCACAGCAATACTTGAATGAGGGCCAAAAGATGGAAGCTCAGTCAGGACAGGATGAATGTACTGTTAGTACACAGGCTGAAAACATCTTGGAGCCTGAAAGACAAATTCGGCATTAAAGAAGCACTTGGGAACCTCATGCAAGCAGTGGGTGGTGCAAAAAACAAAAGTGCCTTTTTTGGTTACTTTTTTTTGGCACCAGGCAAAAACCTTATTCTCTCAGCTCTTCCAAACCTCTATATATGTGTTGCTATGCTAGATTTTTAAAGCTATTTTATTTATATTTTTATATCTTCTGACATCTGCTTTTGTTTCCACTGATTTTAATTGATTTATTATCATGTTGTATAATAAAAGCTGTAAGTTATAGGGAGGAATAAATTTTAAAAGTAAATAAATTGAAGTACTCCAGACTTGGGTTGGATTAAGACAAGGAGCTAAAGCAGTAAAGCTGCTATGGAATGAAATTCTTTCCATCATAGTAAAAGCCCATGAAAATGCTTTGTTACACCATGGGCAAGTAGTGAGCTTGTAACTTGCTGCCTCCTCGAATTCCTCCTAATAAGAGGGATAATGAGAGAGCTGGTACAGTAGTACAGTTGAACAGTTTCTAGTTTCCACTTGGCTCCGAAGTTCGCTAGATGACTTTGGGCCAGTTGCTGACTCTCAGCCTTATTTATCTCACATGGTTGTTGTGAGGATAAAAATGGAGAGTAGAGAACCTGGTAAGCCACCTTGGGTTCCTTGTAAGAGGTAGAAAGGCAGGGTATAAGATCTGAGTTGGAGGCCCTTCTTAAAGGACCATCCACCAAATAAATGAGGGGATAACAAATAGAAGGCCCTTTTCAGTGGTTGCACCCCACCTCTGAAATGGGCTCTCCAAAGAAGCTTGCCTGGCACCCTCATTACCAGTGTTTTGGTGCCCGGCGAAGACTGTTTCGTTTTCTAGATATTTTAATAACTAATTGTTATTATTTATGTTTTACATTGCCTATATTTTATGAATTTTAACTGATATTTTAAACTGCTTTACTTATTGTAATATTGTTATATTTTATGGAGTCTTTTTATTGTATTGTTGATTTTTAATGGAATGTACACTGCCCAGAGTTCCCTAAATTGGTCAATAGGCTGTGGTATATTAAATAAACAAACAAACAAACAAACAAACTGCAGTATAATAAATAACAATAAACCCAACATAGAAGCATAGAAACATAGAAACAAAACGAGTCAGAAGGGGCTCCCTGGCCATCTAGCCTGACCTCCGGCTCCAGCCGGCTCCGCTCATGACACGCCCACCATGATCTTACTACTTGTTTGCAGTGTGGTAGTATTCATGCAAACATCGCCATACTAGCAAAACTGCATTTCTCACTCCATTGTGGCATTTAAATACACAAGAACAGTGACAGTTCCAGGACAGGGTAATTATTTATAATTATAAATAATTATAAATATTTGTAGCACTGATACTGTTGTAAATCTTCTTTTAAATCTCTGTGATGGTTTGTGATTATGCTACATTATCTTTATTATGAATTTTGAAAACTATGACATGTGCTTTCATTTCACTGTAGGGTTTCCAAAAGGTAAGCAAAGCCTTATGAAGTATTACTATAATAGCCACAGACATTTCATTCAAAAATAATAATACTTGATCAGGAAAACAGAAAAGCCTGTTATTTTGTTGATGCTTTATTAAAACTTTCTTCCTTATCAACATCTGACAGAAAAGGGGAAAAATTCACTTGTTCCTCTTTAACCTTTGTTAACAAATGCTAATTTAATCAGCTTTTCCATTACTAAACATCTCAGCAGAACAGTTGCAGGCATTGCACAGACTCCCTTTCAGGGAAGGACGGAGAGGTCAGAGAAGAAATGGCCATTTGGGAAAAGAAACACTGAGCTAAGGGCAAAATGCTTTCCCCCCCTTGTCAGATAAGCTCCAATTTGCTATTTTCTGATCCTATGAATAAACATGAGGAAAGAGATGAGACCTGCTAGGCATAAGAGCTCGAAGGAGAGCATAGGGGGCTGTCTCTGTTTCAAGAGCTTTAGGCAAGTTCATGGAGCACATCTCCAGTCATATCCAATTAGAAACTTTGGAAAAGTTCCTAAGCTGAAGGGAATGGCAGTATTTTCTCCCTGATAACAGCTTATACTTTCTATTTTATTCTGTTCCTTTCTTGTAGGATATAGATATTTTCCCTCCTATCTCAAGGTGAGCAGGTCCTCAGAGGAGTTTGTATTAAAACTTATTTGAACAAATCCTTACAAATTGTAACAACCAACAGGACTAGAAGCAGCCCGGGAAAAAAAGAACTCAAGCAAGAAAAGAGGCTCGAAAACAAAGAACTAAAAGGCACAGGCAAATAAACAGCCTTCATGTCGTGCCTAAAGAAAACAGTCTTAGTCCCTGGAAAACCCCAAGGAAAGCTTGCAGAGCAGGGGCAATCACCATGTCTGACCTCACCTCCAAGAGTTCAGCAAAGGGGCTCTCTTCCTATTTGGACAGATTGATGTGGAAGAAGGCAGCCCTGAGGGTATACCCAGGCCCAAACAGCTTAAGGCTTTGGAGATGAAAGCAAGGACATTAGAAGAGCTGTGCGCAGAAAGGGACAGAATCTGTGCAGCTGTTTCAAGACTGGCAAGAGACAATCTCTATGCCCAGTCTTAGTCAGCAGTCTCAGTGTTGCACTCTGTAGTTGATGCAGCTTCCAGGCAGTCTTCCCAGGCAGTCTTCCCAGGCAGCCCTATGTACAAAACATTGCATTTATCCAATGCAATACTACTTGGGCAGGTGGTCGGTGGTGGATTTGACTAAAAACAACTTCAAAACAGGTACTAGCCAATTTAAATATAAAACAGGGAAAGTGTTCTGATAAGACACCTTTATATTCATACCAGATATTTAAGATTGCTTGGTTTAAGAAAATGGAAGCCTGTTGATTTCTACATACTTACTATTCTGTGCTTGTTAGATATAAATTGAAGACAAAGGCAAATTAATGATTGGGTAGATGAAAAATATGTAATTGATGGTTAATTCAATCAGCTGTAAACTAATATAATACATGATAACATTATGTAAATTTTAGCTAGTCCTCCAAAGCATCATGCTTTGCCTAATGGGTAGTATATAAATGAAATAATGAATAAACAAATAGATAATAACAAGCTACTATAAGTACCCAGGCACCTTCCCAAGCCAAGATCTGGCATCACCCCAGTATACATAAAAGTGCATTCCATCCATGTTTCCCCCATTTATGAACCTAGTCATGATCTGCATTTGGGCAGGAAGGATTGGTGCCACTCCACAACTTTTTGTTTTGTGATCTCCTTCTGATGGAGATCTGCATGGAGTTCATTCTTGTGTATAGATTTGCAGTACAGGCATTTATGTTTCCAAAGCTGTTGTCAGGACAATGAAAATCTAATTGTATTCATGAGCCTATTACAGAACAAGGACATTGCAGGGCAAATAGTTGAGTCATTAAACTATGTTCTCATCACAAAACCTGGATCTATGCAGGTGTAATAACACATACTGGACAGTATTTCACCAAACTCCCAAGGCTCAGAAGCTTTCCTAGAAAAGCTTGCAGCTAGAATGACAGTTATGACCCAACTTGAAGAGTTTGAATAAGATCTGAAAACAGGCATAATATTCTAGTGTTAAGAGATTGTCCTCTGTTCTTTGCAAGATTCTGAAGCCATTTCATTCTAGTTTTGAAACAGAAATTATCTTGATTGCTCTGGTAGAAATTGCTGGGCAATAAAGGAAGCATGGCCCAGTGGGCTCTTCTAGATTTCTCAGCAATTTTCAGAATAATCAACCATGGTTTCCCATTAGGTCCCCAGAAAAAGGGTGGTGTGGTTTTGCTGTGGTGTCCTCCCTGCACTCCACCTCTTAGGCACCTTAAGTACTTCCACTGCTTCACTTGGATTGAATGAAACAGAGTGAGCTGCACATCATTGGCATATTGATGAGACCACCCTCTAAATCTCTGGTGTCCTTGTTCAGCAATTTTATGTGCTGTTAAACAGCATGGGGGAATAAGCTAGAATCACAAAGCATAAATCTTCCAGCTTGGCATTCTGGAAACAGCCACCCAAGAATGAGTTGAACCACTGCTAAACTGTACTATGAAAGCTACTGAGAGATCAAGGAGACTCGAGCAGGTCAGATTCTTCCATCTCTTACCTGGCAAAACTAAAACCACCATGTAACCAAACCAGGTTCAATACCAAAGCTGGGCTTAAATCCAGCAAATCTGTTTCTCCAATGGTCTCTTGATCTGATTGGTCATCACCTACTTAAACCCCTTGTATGGGAAGCCAGTGTTCAAGTAAGCTATTTTAGCATACAGGCAGTCTCTGAGTTACAAGCAAACCCATACTTACAAACTGCCATGAAGCCTATTAATTTTCAAAAATTATTGAGGAAAATCCTCATTACCATAGGAAGAGAGAAAGCAAAAGGGGAGAGAAGGAGGCCTCCAAAACATGCCTTCCTGTCCCACCCACCTGGAGAGGGAAATCTCTCTGGCATTTTCTTGCTGCAAAGAGGAGGAGCGGGTGAGTTGTCGGGGGAGGTAGAGATATTCATGGTTTTTCCACTTTCATGGAGGTCCTGTGCCCATGAACCCTATGAATGTGGAGGGCAAACCATATGTGATCCAATTTACATACAAATTTGACTTAAAAATGAATATATGTTTTCTCAGGAATGGATCTCGTTCGTAAACCGGGAATTGCCTGTAATTCATTTATGAACTAGTAGATTGATAGAACTCAGACTTTAGGATCCATGTAACAGAATCACAGAACGAGAGGGAGTCTTCTGGGCTTCTGTTTAAAATGGTTTTTAGTTATAGGTATGTCTCTGTGTGTCCTATGTTTATATGTTTGCATAGGTGTTTTTGTAATATATTTTAAAAGATTTATTCTTCATAAACCACCCAGAGAACTTTGGTTACTAGATGCTATAGAAATGTAATAAATGAAATGAAATCTAGTCCAGCTACCACTCAGTGCAGGGACCTTTTCGTCTTGAGTTCCCACTACACACAGAACTTATTTCCTGTTTGATTATGTTTTGCATTCAGATCAACGTGCTGTGATTTGCTGTAAATGCTGGTGTTACTTTGCTGTGTTCTTGCAGGCAACTCGTCATGCAGAAATGGTAGCGATTGATCAGGTCATAACCTGGTGTCATCAGCACAAGAAGGCTTGTGAGGAAGTGTTTTCACACACAGCATTGTACGTCACAGTAGAGCCCTGCATAATGTGTGCGGCTGCTCTGCGCGTGATGAGTATCCTTTTCCAAACGATGCAGTGGAATGTTGCTTTCGTCACTTCTCTTGCTTTCAGACAAGGTCATAGAGGACAGCCTCTTGTTGACAAGGGCTGTGTGGGGACTGGACCGAGCAGAAGCACTAAACATAAGAAATATGCATACATTGGATCAGACCAAAAGCCCACTTAGTCTAAAATCCTATTTCCACAGGGCCCAACTGGATACCAGTAGGAAGCCCATAGGTACAATCTGAAGTGAATAGCTCTCTCTGGCTGCTGCTCTCCAGCAGCTGAGATTCAAAAGCATGTAGGAGGTTTTAGTTTGTTTGTTTATTTGGAATTTTTGTATGCAGTCCCATTCGCATAAGCCTCGGTCTGCAAGCCTTGGTCTGGGTGAGGCTAGCCAAGGTATCAGTGCTGTGTCTGGCCAACCTTACCCTTAGGCAGGGTGACATGGCTTGCCTTAGCCAGCAGATTTTGCTGTTATCATTAAAGGGCAGAAATTCCTAAGTGATTTATCGTATTATAGTATGTTTACCTCTTTCATTTGTATTTTCTTCCTCTAGTACTTAAATCTCTTATGCCACCTCTCACTTTGGTTTATGGATTTTGGAAGGGTAGTTCTGGGTAAGAGAAGGTTTGTCTGACTATTTCTTAATGTGTGTAAGAACAGGAGGAATTCTTTTTGAAAAAAAGAGAGAAGCATGAAACTGAGGGTGCATGCACACATCCACACAGGTAGACAACTGCCTAAACCAAAATTATCCAATTTTACCTTGTCTTTTCTTAATCTTGTTAATACCTTAATTTTTCTATATAAATTCCACTGGTTGTATATGGCTGCCAAAATGAACGATTTGGAGGCTGTGGCTCAGTTCTGAATATCTCTTCTGCTACTTTAACAGACACGGGGGAGCCATTTCAGGTAAAATACTTTTGCCTTTAAAAACTTAAAGCTATGTAATGGTATGACTGCATCAGGAGACAGATTTGCCTAAAACTGAGTTGTTGCTAGTACTTTAATTCTGAAACTGTCACCAAAATTCATCCTTAACTGTGTTGTCTAAGAATTTCTCCAGTGATAGTTTGTGATTGAATCCACATTTATATAGAGTGCAGATAATTTAGAACATCCAGGATTTAGAGAGAAATTGTTTACTAGAGTTTTCCTCCTTAATATAGCATCTTCTATTATTCTGCATTCCTCAGCTCTTTGCAAGATCGCAAGGTGCAAATGTACGCATAAGGGGAATAGTAGCATGGGTAGTAATCAAATGGGCTTGATGAATGGACTGGGCACACCCACCCTTGTAGCACTGATGAGGTAAAGTAGGTGTGGATATGATTAGTGCATGGATGGAATATCCCAAGGAAATTTGTGTACAGACAGGAAAAGGAGGGCAACAGAGATGATTAAGGGACTGGAAATAAAGCCCTATTAGGAGAAATTGAAAAAGCTAGACATGTTTAGCATTAAGAAAAGAAGATTGAAAGGAGATACAATAGCACTTTTCAAATACCTGAAAGGCTTTCACACAGAGGAAGGCCAGAATCTCTTCTCAGTCATCCCAGAGTGCAGGATACACGTTAGAGGCTTAAGTTGCAGGAAGCCAGATTCCAGCTATATATCAGGAAACATTTCTTGACTGTTAGAGCAGTATGGCAATGGAAACAATGACCTAGGAAGGTTGTGGGCTCTCTCCCGCTGCAGGCGTTCAAGAAGCAGTTGGACAGCCATCCGTCAGGGATGCTTTAACTTGCAGTCTTGACTAAGTGGGCAGTTGGACTTGATGGCCTTTTAGATCCATTCCAATCCTACTGTTCTATGATTCTGTGTCCTTTCAAAAATGTCTAAACTTATTCTATAATAATATGTTGTATGCATGAAGAAAATAAAACACAAAATATCTGGAAGCAATCGTAGGAATAGAACCAGATGGAATATTCTGTAGAAAAGAAAATGTACCCTGTTATTTATCCTAGTAATGACACAGCTGTACATCATAGCAACTGTGTGAGAAGAAATCTTGCATGTAAGAATTTTGATTTCTGTTCTCAAGCAATTGCAGTTGATTGCACTGGAGAAAGCATCCCTTTTGTGGGTGTATGTGTTTTAGAATTGTGAATTCACTGCATGCATCCTCCTTATCTGTGTGCTGTTGCTCATCCATGCATTTGAAGGAATACATATTATGATCAAATTATTTGCACGGGTATAATAAGATGAATCATAGCTCAGTACTTCTGATGGGCCAGGGAAACCTTTGCAGTGTGTGGGGTAGGAAAAGACATATCCATGCAGATGAGTTCCTTGACAGAAACTCTTATGCTAAATTCAGGCATAACAGTTCAAGTCTCAACTAGCCATGGTTGGCCAGGTGCAAGTTGTATGCATGCACATTTCCTCTTCCCATCTCCCACATACTTTAATTGAATGGCTGTAATGACTTTAATCGAGGCTTCCTGGTTTCATGGTTTGGTATCCTAATTTGTAGGGATTTCTTAAAAATCTTTGTTTCCTGTTTGGTTATCACAGACAGCTCTGGTTTAACAAATCTCAGACATACTGGCTCAAGGCATGAAAGAGAGAGAAGAGAAGGAAATGCATACATACATGACTTGCTTCCAGTCCAGCAAGCCTATTTCCAATGCTGGTTGTTCAGTTTTCTCTGGAAGCTGACCCCTACCCCATCTGCCCATATCATCTTGTCTAGCTTTTTTTGGGGGGGGGCGGGTCAGGGGAGACCATTTACCTATAGTGGAAATGATCTGGTGGCAGGAGCTGTGCTCTGTAAGAATGTATGCCAATCAGTGCAAATGTTGAGCTTTTCTCTGTCCAGGCTTCTGGATTCCTTGTGGGATTGAGAATGGCTCCTTTACAAATGCCTTTTCTTAATTCTTTCTCTGCCTTTCTGTATGTTTTATTGCACAGCTACTAGATGGTGCTGTTGTATAGCAGAACTGCACAAATATTAGAGAATTTCATGCTGCTGCTCACAGATAGTATCAGACATTTCTTGTTCTAGAAGCGCATAAAGCACTTGCAAACTACTATGAACAGGAAATCACAAGTGCACAAAAATGTCTTATGTAGAAAGCCTCACAGTCATTTGGAAATATGCCCTAGCAATTGTCTATAACTTAGACAAAAAAGTTGCCACCGGGGAAAATACCATCTTCCTCCTTCCCACTACATGCCCAGTGTTAAAGAAAGGCACTCCTCTGCTTTGAAACACAGCATGGTACAAAAGGAGTTAACTTTTATTTTTTACCTGTCTGAAACTTAATCACAGTGATGTCAGAAGCTGCATCTGTTGAGCTTTTTTTATGCCTGGTAGGGTGCAATTCTATGCATGTTTGGTCAGAAGAAGATCCTACAACTCCCAGCATTCCCCAGCCAGCTGTGGTCACCAGGAAATGCCAGGAGCTACAGGACTTTTTCAGTATCCAATTGGGGCCCATAGCTATTAAAGACTCCAAGTTTTGATTTTGAGGCAGGAGCTGGTGAATCCTGGTGACACTTTGTCTTTGTTTGTGGTGCCTTTTTGAACAAAATATTCTAATCTCTGCAGTGCATAGCAGGTTATCGATCTGAAGAAGCTGTGGAAATGTTGAAAACCTTCTACAAACAAGAAAATCCAAATGGTAAGTACCATCACCACCACCACCTTTCTAATTCTTTTCATTTTTTTACGTCATTAACTATTATTGTTTTTTTTTTTTTATTTATGGCAGCACCGAAGTCAAAAGTTCGAAAAAAGGAATGCAGTAAATGATTCTTTGTGATGGAGAATAACTTGAAGTTAGAAGAATACTGAACACTGAAACACGTGGGCAGTGCTTACATTCCCTTGTCTATGATATTTAGTACTTAGAGGCGAAGAACAGTGTGCCTCTTCTTCTGTAGGTTGTTGTGATATATCATTTGTGTGTTTTTAGAAATTACACTAATATCATAATCAAATATGGCCTTTTAAAAAATGTCTGGATTTTATATGTGGAGATGGGCAGGAAAATAGAAAGAGAAAGTACCCTTTCAGTAATAGTTCAGATTGAACTGTTGTAGCCATATCAATTTTGATCTTGATTAGAAAGAGGACCAATTATTATGAGAGGCTTTGGCCAGTTTGGCTTATGCTGATTTCTTGACAATGGTGCAGCTTAGGTCAGTGGTGCACACAGGATTCTGTAAATGCAAACTACTTAGACCGTCCTTTTCTTTGTGGTGTTGCTGACACTTAGAATAGTCTGCTCTGAGGTCTGGGTGCTGCATCAACTAGGACAGAACTGCTGCCACCATCAGAACAGGGAAAACCACATGGTATTGACAGCTTGGAGTTGGTGTGAGCTGAGAGTATACTGGATGTTTTCATGAGAACCAGCCCTTATGAGCCTGGTCTATACTGAGTCAGACAATTCAGGGCTGAATGTCCGCTTTGGCACTGGTTTTCCAGCACAGACCTTTCCCATCACCTGCTTTGTTGTTGTTATTAGTCACAAAGTTGTGTCCGACCCATCGCGACCCCATGGACAACATTCCTCCAGGCCTCCCTGTCCTCCACCATCCCCCAGAGTCCACTCAAGCTCACACCAACTGCTTCAGTGACCCCATCCAGCCACCTCAGCCTTTGCCGTCCCCTTCTTCTTTTGCCATCTATTGTTCCCAGCAGTAGGCTCTTCTCCAGGGAGTCCTTCCTTCTCATTAGGTGGCCAAAGTATTTGAGTTTCATCTTCAGGATCTGGCCTTCTAAAGAGCAGTCAGGGTTGATCTCCTCTAGGACTGACCGGTTTGATCACCTTGCGGTCCAAGGGACTCGCAGGAGTCTCCTCCAGCACCACAATTCAAAGGCCTCAATCCTTTGGCGCTCAGCCTTCCTTATGGTCCAGCTTTCACAGCCATACATTGCAACTGGGAAACCATGCTACCCAGAGATTGAAATAAGGACCTTCTGTAAGAAACCTGTGCTCTTATTTGAGCTGTGGCTCTTTCCCTTGAGGACAAGGTGGATAGATAATGTGCATAAACTTATACATGTTGGGTCACACCATAATGCGTATTTTAAACTTTCCCATTTCGTTGATGACAAGCTAGCAGAAATCCTGTTGCTTGCACTATCTCAATGCAGGCATTGTGCTTAAGGAAGCCTATGATTTGCATGATGACTGAACTGGGAAACCTTGATTTATGAGCGTAGTGCACCTATTTTATCATGGTTGCCCTTTTTGGGTAGAGTTGATACTACAATTCCAACTACCGTATTTTTTGCTCTGTAAGACGCACTTTCCCCCCCTCAAAAGTAAGGGGAAATGTATGTGTGTCTTATAGAGCGAATATGTGTGTGCAGTAAGTCTGTCAGATGTGCAGCCCATGGGGAAGTGATGGGGAATGTGCCTGTGATTATGTGTCCATTTGATTCAGAATATTTTTTTTCTTGTTTTCCTCCTCTAAAAACTAGGTGCGTCTTTTGGTAAGGCGCGTCTTATAGAGTGAAAAATACAGTATATTCAGGACATAGCCACAATGATGATGGTGATTTATTTACTTGTGATATAAACTGCCTAGAAAATCTGGGTCTGTCCTTTTCATTTTTTTAATGAATGGGATTATTTCTGTGCACATTTTTAGCAATAAAATAATTGAAGCTTTTTTGCACAAGCAGGTGTCAGTTTTGCTTGAACACATTTGTAACTGAAATATTTTGAGGCTGTGTTCTGATTTTACTTTTTTGATGCCCTTTCTTGCATGTGCTCAATTAGAGAAGGCCAATATTAATGACTTACTATAATTTGGTAGATATCAAACTATAAAATTTGAAACCTATAATAAGAAAGGTAACTAGCAGGAGAATGCCTGAATTTCAGTCCCCACTAGCTTTGCTGTTTACATTCCTTCCCCATATATTAAAATATGTGTGCATATATTTGTAATTTGTAATCTGATGAAGAGGGCAGCAATCCAATAAATTTATGCCATAATATATTTTGTAGTCTTTAAGATACCACAAGTCTTTAAGGTAGTTATTTTAGATAGCAGAGACTGGAAGAAGGAAATGCAAAGACAAGATTTACAACAGACATTTCAGTGCTCTGTTGGACTAATCCTTGAACATATTATGATTACAGTCCAGAAGGGGGCCTTGCTGTTCCAAGAATGAATGACCCAGGCGGGTTGAAACTGAATCTTGATTCCTCTGCATATGCATACTGAGCAAATAAATAGACCAGGAAGTGATCGAGCAATGCTTCATGGATTTTTATATTATGGACAAGCTTTTCTAGTTTGCTTAACAAGTCAAAGCTAGAGGTGCTTCAATATTTTATTCTTCTACAATGCATATCAAAAAATCTTGGAAAAATGTGTTCCTGATGTTTAAGTAATAAAAACTAGTTTTTGTATCACTTGTCCCAAAAGCTACACTTTCTTTTTAGATAACAATCTCATGCTACACATGGTAGAAGGGAAACTGTTTGGTGATTTAGAGAACTATCCTACACCTTGATTCTTAACCCTTAACATTGGAATTAAGTCCCATGGATTTCAAATAATTACTAATAAGAGTGCCTTTGTGGCCTTAGTACATAAGTCTTCAGGATAGAAAACAAGTCACTTACATGTCTTGTACAGCACCTGGGATACTACTTCTGAGATAAATAGATTAGTTTGATGGTACATCTGTGTACTCTTGCAGTTCAACCCTATGCATACTCAAAGCTCCATTAAACTCAATGGAGTACAAAGGTCCATTGAACACAGGTAAGTATGTATGTAAGACAACACTCTAGTCTTACTTATACTGTATATGTAATTATATTAATAAATTTATTTAAACCTCCTTTCAGTATAAGCTATCCTCCCAAAATTATAAAACATGGCATGTAAACATCTGAAAGGAATTAAACTGAAAGTTCACAAAGACTTCATGAAAAGCGAACACAGCCATGTTAGTCCTTAAGAAAAATCAAAAATCCACCTTTATTAGAACCAGCTAAAATGCCACAAAATGGTGATCAAGCTTTCAAGTTCTCTGGAACTCTCTTCATCAGGTAAAGCTCTGTGCATTTTGCAAGTCTTGTAGGCAATTCTGTGATTCATAGCACCATGGGAGGAATATAGTAATTCTGTTTGTTCAAATATGCAGGCTAAAATCCTCAGTGCAGTATTATGTGAATCTGATTTGGAAAGAAATCTGAATTTACAGGAGTCCTTGAGAATGTCATCACCTGATTTCAGTAATCTTAGTTAAATCTTACAATTTAATTGATAGCTCTGCGTATAATTGCATATGAATGAGAATAGTTCTGAAGAAATAATTCTGAATGTAGCTTGCTTTTTAGGTAAAGAAGGCATGAATCACACCAGGTACCATCTTGGAAGGATTATTTTCTGTGTGTGAGAAGGAGGGATGTCTCTTCTCTGCTTGGCACCTGTGGTTTTTGTAGATGCATGTATTGAAAATAGTTAACTTTTTTTTAAAATGCTGCCAATCAACTGGCAGCATATTGTTCTTGAGGACTTTTAAGAACAGAGTTTGAGGAAGCTCCCCTTGCCATTAGGGTATGTTAGCAAACCACTTATTTACATTATGCAGAATAAGTGCCAGTAGACAGTTTCACCACAGTTAGAAAAGAGAATGGAGAACTGTGAAGAACGCCAGGGCATCAGAATAATCTTACTCCAAATTGTGTCATCTTTGTGTCTCTTCACAATGTAAAATAAATGTAATTGATTTTTAGGGGATGATTCTTTAAAGAGAGGCTTCTTTTCTTGCCAAATTCTTAATCTCATTGCTTGGATATTGCAACACAAGTAAACAGATTCCCATCTCCTCCCTGTGGTACAAGCTGTTCATGGAAGACCATAACCCTCAGAATTTTCTTAGAATTTTGTATGTTATTAAGCTGATATTCTCAGAGTTTTTTAACTACAGGATCCTTAAGGGAACATACTCAAAAACCTGGAATTATGTATCTTTTGTATTTGTGATGCAGATCACAAGTAAAAGTTAGAATTGAAGACTAACCACATTATAAAGCTTATTCCCTATCACCTCTTTTCCGATAACGAATTTTAGATAATTCTGTTAATTGTCAATACTGTCAAATCAGTCTATTCATTAAACTGCTGGGAGGTGGAATGTAAAATGGCCTAAGCCTCAACCTTTAGGGGAAGGGTTAACTGACACCCCAGGGAACTGGCTACAGTTGCCAGGTGTTGGTTCAAGGAGACCCAGGCGCCAAGGCCAAGAGAGGGCCAGACAGGGCTTGAGAATGCAAAGGAGAGACACTGTAAATTATAACCAAGGACAGGGGCATTTACTCTCCCCAAGAAAGGAGAAGATTAGGGGCAATAAGGGCAAATGGTCCTCACATGGAATGTGTCATGCAATGTCACCCCAGGAGTCATCTATGAGTAAAGGCGGGATAAAAAAGGGGAGCAAGGAAGGCTTAGGGTTCCTCTTCAAGAAAAGGCTCCCTGTTGCTGCTGGAGGCTCTGCTGAAGAACACTGTGCCACCTTATATATATGGCTTGGGACCAGGATGCCTAAAGTAACACCTTTTTCCCTATTTGCCCTCCCGCCCCCTGAGATAGGCAACAGAGGCCCTCCTCCGGGAACCCTCTGTGAAAGACATTAGGAGACAGAATACCGGAGAAGGGCCTTTTCTGCGGTGGCGCCCCGTCTACGGAATGTACTCCCCAAAGAGGTCCACCTGGCGCTGTCATTATATGTTTTATAAATAAATAAATTGGAAGACTACATTTGATATCATATTCTGTTACCAGCATAGGGTCGCAAGGTTGGCGGCCAGTTTGCAGGGGATGCCGTATGAGGTGAGACTGAGGGAACTGGGTCTCTTCAGCCTGGAGAAGAGGAGACTCAGAGGGGATATGTTGGCGACATACAGGTATGTGAGGGGATGTCACACGGACATGAGACCTGTTCTCCCCTGCAGAGGAAGGCAGGACGCATTCCAAGGGAGCAAAGCTCAGGGGACCAAGGTTCCATTTGGATGCCAGGAAGCACTTCCTGACAGTTAGGACCCCGAGGGTGTGGAATGGGCTTCCACAGAAGGTGGTTGAGGCCCCATCAGTGAAGGTGTTCAGATAGGCTGGACATGCACATGGTGGGTATGTCGTGAGTGGAGCCGACTGGAGCCGGGGTCAGACTAGATGGCCCCAGAGACCCCTTCTGACTCGCTCTGTTTTTATGTTTCTGTGTTTAGAGCTAGGCCTGGGAAGTTTTGTTGTTTTGTGTCTGATGGGCCAACAGGGCCTGGAGTCTTGGGAGGCTTTGGCTGTTTGTCAATGGTGCCTGTGCAGCTTCTCCAATTCCCCTCTTTCCTGCTACACATAAGATTGTGTCTTATGTGTCCTATTGATTTTATGCCTTCCACCCCTATTTTGTTAACCTTTTAAATAAAAATTCTTTCCCTCCAACACTTGGGTCAGCATGTGCTAAATCCAGTGTCTGTTCTGGAAATGGAACAGGGAGTCTCTGGACAGAAGTT